TTGAACCGACGGCTTCGTCATCTCCAACTGTAAACAAAACAAAATTGAAAAATCCAAAAATCCATCCAATGCGAACAGTCGTGCCAAAAGCATTTCAACTGTCTTACATAACGGACAACCAGCAATGAGCAAAAAAAAAAGGCCAAAATAAGCAAAAACAAAAACAAAAAAAAAAAAAAAAAGAAACAGAAGAGCAGATAAAATTCCAAAAAGGAGAGTAAAAGAGGGCAATAACTTTATTACGATCAGAAAAGACCTTGCCCAATTAGGCAATGTTGTTGTTGCTTTTTTGCTGCGAAACTGAGGAGTGAAGAATTGTAATTTAATTAAAATTTATGGTAATGCAGAGACACTACTTTTTAGATGGACGATCGGAATATCGTATACCCTGGAATCCAGGCGGTTGTAAACAATCCAGTGGGATATACATACATATTCAATGTCAGTTATGTCACTTGATTTTAGCTTGCAACTGCACCTTTATTCATCTCCTCCCATTAAAATACAAAAATAATTCTTGTCCCCTCACAAGATGTGCAACAAACATGATGCGTGCCCCACATGATTCCATGATTCCATGTTCCCAGGCAACGTTGTGGCACTTTGTTTATCCTCATCGCGTATGCAAATCGCCTGGCTAATTAAATCAAGCCAAGACATGAACCCAAAACCATTGCGACTGCCTTGCAGCCAGACTTCCTTCCACATGTTTATGTTTTTTTTTGAGTTGCATTTCGAGTCGCCGTCGCCCGCCGACGGACGGGACGGCAGGCCTTAAATATTTCAATTTGATGCCGGGACAACTTTTATTTTATGATCCGCAACACCAGACACTTCGTTGCTGTTTGTTTGGTTGTAGCTGTAGACTGGCCCAAATGCTAAACACGGCAGCCGATTCTAGTCAACGATGCACCTAGAGAAAACATTTCCAAGTTGACAGCACATTTTTGTATCATATTTGATTACGTGGTTACCATTTGAGTTGTTATGGTAACAAAAAATGATTCTTAAGATAATTACCTTGCCTGTTAAACGAGTAACAGGTAACAAGGGTGTTTATAATTATTTATTTTTAATATTTTTGAAAGACAGCTCCGTGTTCGAGCCTTTTAAAAAAGAACCCATAAAGCAAACATATAAATTATAAAAAGTCAATAAAATTTGTTTTATGTTACTAGAATAAACTATCAAACCGTGTTTCCTAGGAAAAACTAAACTATAATGCATCTACATTTAATAATTATTTTTTGAAGACAGCTCCGTGTTCGAGCCTTTAAAAAAAGAATCTACTAAGCAAACTGCTCGCAGAAATGATTAAAAGTCAATAGGGTTTATGTAATGTTAGTTAAATAACAAATAAAGCTTTAATTCCTAAGGAAATCTGATTAACTTTCTAACTTAACTTTTAACTTTTAATAAATTCCTTAAAGTTTTTGAACAATTTTCTCGCTCTGTAAGACCGGACAACAAATGTCACCCGAGGAGTCGGAGAAAGCGGGAGGGCAAACAGACTTAGAAAGACAGGAGCGCCCGAGTCCAAGTCAATGTTTGTTGTTCTTGTTGCTGTTGTTGTTGTCGGTTGTCGTCTGTCCGCTGTCAATGTCAGGGAACGCGAGACAGGGACAGTTACGCAGAAGAGGACCAGGGGCGTCGCAAGGGGGCAGGGGGAGTGTGGGGAGGGGGGAGGTTGGGTCCGCAGAACTTCGGCTGCCGGAACGCAGACACACAGAACCTGACAGCCGACCAATCGACCAACCAAACCGATCGATGGAGGGACAGGGACGGCGGGGCGGTCTTCACCGAGGGGGGTGGGGTGGGCAATTAGAAAACCAGTCCGGCGAAGGCGACGACGGCCAAGAGGCGCTGCTCATTATTGATGGCCAACTAAAGTTTAGAGGAGCTCATCAGCTAAGTAAAGGCGATTGACAATCGAATTGAAGCGCCAGTTATGCTTCGACACTTTTTAAACCCACAAGGTGTTCTTTAATTCTGCAAAGATATTTGCAAAATTAGCGTTTTCTTCGTATTAAGTAGTAAGACATTAAAAAATATGTGTTCTACTAAGTATGTCAAAAGAATACTATAAACCACATTGATCGGGACATAACTAAGTAACATTCAAAAATCAAGAACCCTAATGAGTTTCACTTATTTTAGAACTGTTCGAAATGATGATTAAGAGTTAGTGACAAAAGATTGTTGAAACAAGAAAACTTATTTAAAATTATTCAGCAGTTGCCAAGCTAATCTTTATTTATTAAATCTATAAAATAGTAATGGAAATATATATTACCAAGATGGAGATTTTTTTTTGTTAAATTTGCATTTCTTGAGCTAAATAAAATGAAAATAAATTAAATTCCAATTGTAGTAATCGCTGGCAAGAGCATCTGGAATCTGTCGTGATCGAAATAGCTCCCTTTTGTCCCATTCCCATTCAACTGATCGCTGCTTGCGTGATCGTCTTCTTGGCAGGAAGAGGTGGGTGGTGGGGTATTCCGAGGGGGGGGAGGGGGAGGGAAAGGAGAAACCGAGAACCGCTGGAGAAGCAGCTGGTCAACTATTTGGTATGCCAGCTTTGTCACCAAAGTCTCTTTCTTCTGGCCACAAGCTCCTGTTCTGGCTCTAAGTGTTTAAGTGTTGGCAACACAGTGCCGCTGTTTTAGTTGTTTGGTTGTTTGGTTGTTTAGTTGTTTAGTTGTTCGTTCGCCTGTTGCCGGAAGCGCAATTGCTTCATTATGGCACGTACAGTGTGCCACAAAAGTGATGATACAGCAGCTATTTTTTATTTTTTGTGTGAATTCCTTCATTATTCAACGGATTTAAATAAAACAAAAAATCACTTCAAGTAAAATATGTATTTATGAATAGTATTTAAGAACAAAAATAACGAAATCTCCAATAGTTTCTATACAAAAAACAAAAAACCAAAATTATCCCTCATTTAATTTCCACAAAAGTCATGATACATTAGTATTAACATCGGAAAAATTTAAATTAATTTACTATTTTAAGCTTTTTAATACTTCGTCGGATATCCCTTCATTTTAATTACTTCCTGAAGACGTCGAGGCATTGAAGAAACTAAAGTTTTTATATAGGCGTGGTCAATTTTCGCCCACTCCTCCAGCAAGGCTACCTTGAGATCAGACCTACTCGTTATTGTTCGACCCCTCAAATGCTCCTCTAGTTTATTCCACAAATGCTCAATGGGATTCAAATCCGGACTTTGAGGAGGCGGCTTCAGCAAATGTGGAACATTATATATAAGCCATAAACGTGTATTTATGGCCGTGTGCTTTGGGTCATTATCTTGGTAAAAGTGAAAAGATGACCCAATACCAAGATGATTAGCACTTTGTTTTAAATTTCTTTTCAGGATTTCAATATACTTTTTATGATCCATTATACCGTCAATTATTTCTAGGTTCCCGACACCAGCAAAGGCCATGCAGCCCCATACCATGAGTCCTCCGCCATTGTGCTTCACAGTTTTAATTGTGTTTTTGGGTCTATAGGCATCTCCAGGTTTTCGCCAAACTTTATAACGCCCGTCTGACCGAAAAATGTTATATTTAGACTCGTCTGAAAATATAACCTGCTGCCAGAACTCTTCAGAATGATTTCTGTAAGCTTTAGCGAACTCAAGACGCTTAAGTCGATTTTTTTTTGAGACATGAGGCTTTTTCCTTGGTGTACATGAGAGGAATCCAAACTCTTTAATGGTTCTTCTAATGGTTTCTGGGTGAACATCCTTCTTAAGCGTTGTAGCAATAGCTGAACTTATTTTAACAGCGCTCTGGAAAGGATCCTTGTCGATAATATGCTTAATTAGGCGTTTGTCTCTAACGGTTAGTTTTGGTGGACGGCCATTTCTGCTGTTGTTTTCAATGCGGCCTTCATTTTTGAACCGCCCAATGACATGTTGAATTGTTGAGCGGGGTCTGGAAACTATTTTTGAAATTTCTGAATAGGACTTTTGTCCTTTAACGTGTAAATTCAAAATAATTCTTCGCTCTTCCAAAGTAAGCTCCTTTCGAGGCATTTTCACAACTTAAACTACGCTATGACTTTAAATGAATTTCACCACAAGTGAAAGAATTATATGCAAAGCATAAACGAAAAAGTCCCGTTACAAAATCTTAAACAGATCAGCTGCAATTAATCGAACTGTATTAACACTAATGTGTGTATCATGACTTTTGTGGAAATTAAATGAGGGATAATTTTGGTTTTTTGTTTTTTGTATAGAAACTATTGGAGATTTCGTTATTTTTGTTCTTAAATACTATTCATAAATACATATTTTACTTGAAGTGATTTTTTGTTTTATTTAAATCCGTTGAATAATGAAGGAATTCACACATATAGTAAAAAATAGCTGCTGTATCATCACTTTTGTGGCACACTGTACTTTGTCAAAAGGCTTCGCGTTGAGTCACATTTGTTCGATTTGTGCACTCCGAAAAAAAAACTCATTTGAATGGCACGAGAATTCGAATTCATGAACGCAACCTGAGCGGCGATATTTTATTTGTACAGGATATTTAATTACATTTCTCAAATGCTTTTGTAATGAGAGGGGTTGATAAGTTTATTATTGTTTATCTATTGGAAATGGAATTTAAATTTGGTTTAAAAAGAAAAGTTCCCTTCTTCAAAAACTAGTGCTCTTCTAAAAAAAACCCTAATTGACTATTCTTGAAAATATAACAACAAAAATGATTAATACTAATTTAAAAAACACAAATGTCCAATAGTTTTAGCCCAAGGCGCTGTTCCATTTTTCCTAGTGATACTCTTCTTACTCTCTCCTCCGCAACTCAACCCAAATCCACAAATCCACACTGCTTATGAATGAAAAATGATCGCGAAAGGCGGCTCACGCACACACACGCACTACACATACAGTGTGTGTGTGTATGTGTGTGTGTGGGCTGCTCGTAACAGAATCCAATGGCTAATTCCACTCTCTGCCATCCTCCGCTCTCCATTCGCAGGGGCAAATTCGCCGCCGTTCGCCGCGCCATCAACAAGAACACGGGCTCCCACTTCGCGGCGAAGTTCCTGAAGAGGAGGCGCCGTGCGCAGAGCAGCGACAAGGAGATCAAGCACGAGATCGCCGTCCTGATGCTCTGCGAGGGCGAGGACAACATCGTCAACCTCAACGCCGTCCACGAGACGCGCTCGGACACAGCACTCCTGCTGGAGCTGTAAGTATAGCACAGAGTTTTCCCGAAAACTACTTCCATAACAAGTAAATTCCTATAGAAAGTAAATTCCGTTACAAAAGTAAGTTCCCTAATGGTGTATGGTATATCATATCGTATATGGTAGACGAGTATATGGTATATATAGGAAACATTTTAGGAGAGCTGTATTGACTTAGGAGCCCCAGAAGCTCATTTTCTTCAGCAGGGCTTGCATTTTTTGCACACGAGTGTATTTTAAAGCTGTACTTCTTTAAAAATTAAGATTCGCTTGGGAAATCCTTCAAAAAGAGTTAAGTCAAAAAAGTTAAGAGTTTTGTCTAGGAAAAATAATTTACAAAAGAGCGTGGTTACTAAATATACAACTAAAAAATATTTTATTGATATAATTTGTAGAGAGTCTGGTTCTCTTTTTGTTGATTAACTGATGTAAGATATAAGATACAAGCATTATACAACGGGTCAAAAGCTAATACTGTAGCTTCAATGTCAGTAATTCTAGATCAGTTGCCACCAGCTACTTTGCACTTAACCATCTAACCCAAAATGAACCTTTCATCCCGCAGGGCCACTGGTGGCGAGCTGCAGACGATCCTGGACAACGAGGAGTGCCTGACGGAGGCGCAGGCCCGCCACTGCATGCGCGAGGTGCTGAAGGCCCTGAGGTTCCTCCACGACCGCTCCATCGCCCACTTGGACCTCAAGCCGCAGAACATCCTGCTCGCCGGCGAGCGCATAGAAGGTGGGTGTTATCTGTACTATATATGCAATATGCAATATCCCGAAACTAATGCATCTACTTTCCCCCCGAACAGACGGACTGAAGCTGTGCGACTTCGGGATCTCGCGGGTGGTGTGCGAGGGCATCAACGTGCGGGAAATGGCCGGAACACCCGACTACGTGGCCCCCGAGGTGCTCCAGTACGAGCCGCTCTCCCTGCTGACGGACATCTGGTCGGTGGGCGTGCTCACCTACGTGCTCCTCTCCGGGTTCTCGCCCTTCGGCGGCGACACCAAGCAGGAGACCTTCCTCAACATCTCGCAGTGCGCCCTCACCTTCCCGGACAACCTCTTCGGCGGCGTCTCCCCGGTGGCCATCGACTTCATCCGTCGCGCATTGCGAATTAAGCCAAAGTGAGTTGAGTGGCGATTCGGTGGCAGGTTCAACTTGACAGGGGGAAGCGCTTAGAAAACCAGCAAATACTTGCAATTCATTTATGTGCTTCGTTCAAACTAGTCTATTGAGAACGAATCCCTTTAATTGTGGGTCTAAACAACAAGCTATTGATTCCATTGATCATTCCTTTAATATACTGTTTATCCTTTAAATATGTATATTCCATCATGACATGCACAAGCTGCTCTGTGTTTCATGAATTAGTAAATGGTAAAAATAATTTAATTTCAAGAAGTTGAGGAGTATATCAAGTAGCATATATATTAGCTTTGTTCAATCAGTTTGCAGTCGATCCGATTAATTGATTCAAAATGAAGGAACACCATGTTCAATCGTCAGTTTGTATGGTTTCTAGACTTTGGATAAAATAGTAATTAGTAAACAAAATCATCGTCATTGATTTGCAAGTTAGCGTGTAGAAGTATATATCAGTTTTGTTTGGTCTTAGGATTTAATCCGATTAATTGATTTAAAATGAAAGAATTCATGCCTGTTCAATTGTCAGTTTGTATAATTTCTGAAAGAAAATGAGACCTTCAATAATCATGGCTAGTTAGTAGTGCATCCTTGTTTTGTGAGCATTTACCACAGATCGATTTCAAATTGTTAACCATGTATCTTTGCTGTTTCAGCGATCGCATGAGTGCCGCCGGCTGCCTGGAGCACGTCTGGCTGAAGGACGACTGCTCCCTGGACAGACAGATCTACATGCAGCCCCAGAGCGATGCCGAGGAAGAGGAGGACGACGACGAGGTGGAGGATGAGGAGGATGCCGTCGAGGAGGAGGAGGAGGAGGAGGAGGAACAGACCCTGGAGGAGCCAGCAACCAGCGAGCAGACGCCACAGCAGCAACCACAGCAGCAGCAGCAGCAACTTAAACAGCAGCTGCAGATGCAGCAAGCCAAATCCGTGAGCCACAGCAGCAAGCCGACGCACAATGGCCACCACCGAGCGAACAGCAGCGGCAGCATCTCGAAGATCCCCATTGCCACCAGCAAGCTGCTCCTGAGCAGCTCCAGCTGCTGCGAGACCACCACGGCCATCCACACTCTGACCAGCAATGGGAACACTAATGGGAACAGCAGTGGGAACAGCAATGGGAACACCACCAATGGCCACGTGGTGCACAAGCCCACGCAGATTGTGACGCCGACGCGAAGAGCCTCCGACTCGGACAAGGAGAACACGTACACGGCCACGTTCGTGAAGAAGCCGGTGGCCACCATCCAGCTGGGCGGATCCAACGGCCTCGAGGACGCCACTGTGGTGGCCACGCTCACGCTCTTTCCCGACGCCCCCACCACGCCGAAGGTGATCCGCAAGACGCCGACGGGCGAGTCGAACGGCTCGGCCACCTCGGTGAAGGCGCTGGTCAAGAAGTTCCAGCTGGAGGAGTCCGGCGGTGCGGCGGTGGCCAGGCGGAGCGGTGGTGCAGCTACCTCGCCAACAACCACGACGACGACGACAGTCAGGATGAACGGGATTCGGCGTGCGTCGGAGCCACTGACCACTGTGTACAAGAAGCAGGCGCCGCCAAATGGCTGCTGCAGCAGCGCGAGTCCCAATCTGAGTCCATCGAATCCGAGTCCCGGCAGCAGCAGTCCCGCCACCACCACCATTGCGTCCGGCAGCAGCGGCAGCCTGCTGATGCACAGCCAGCGACTGGGCAGCAGTGCCGCGCCAGCCACATCAGCAGCAGCTACCACAGCCACAGCCACCTCCTCCTCCGCCAGCAATAGCAACAACAGCAACAACAACAGCGGAAGCAGCAGCAGCAGCAGCGGAAGTTCCGGGGCGAAGACAGCGAACAGTGCCGCCCACCATCTGCACCACCACCACATGCACCACCACCACCACCATCACCACCACCATGTGGTGATCGCGGCCAAGAACGCCGCCGCCGTGGCCGCCACCAACAACCTGAGCTTGGACCAGGGTATCATCTGTTAGCTAAGGGCCAGCCGGGCCAGCCGCAATGCCAAAAGCTTCTTCCATCGCTTCCTCTGCTGCATGTAACCACCAGCTGCCATGGCTGCCAGCGAGCCACCATCCCAATCCAGAACCACAACTACCGCCACCACCACCACCACCACCACTGCCCATGCCAATGCCCACTGGCAGCGGGTGAAGAGGAGGAGCGGCGAGGAGGAGGAGGAGGAGTCGCCCAGCTGCAGGATCACTGGGGGGCACTGGCAGGGCGGCGACCTGAGGAGCTATGGCCATGGATACCAGCAGCGGAGATGGAACGCAATCGGAACCGGAAACGGGCACTCGAACTGGAACTGGAACTCCAACTGGAACCCCAACGGGAGCGGGAATTGGAATCGGAATTTGAATTGGAATTGGAATTGGTGCTGCAGCGGCAAATGGAAACGGAAATGGAGAAGGTGGTGGCTATGGGAACGAAAGTGGCACGTCGACGACGACGACGAGGACGAGGATGCATTGGTTTCGATTTGAGTCTAGTTTAGTTAAATGTTTTGCGGCCTTAGCCTCTGGGAATCCCGCGGAGCAGCGGTTGCCCCAAATCCGAACCCATTTCAGATTCATTTTCGTACCAAACTTACGATTATAAGTTAAATAGTTGAGTATTTGATGGACCGTCAGGCTTGATGATCGGTGGCAACCGTGACCCCACACACTCACACACACACACACTAGGAAAACGAACACACACACACACACACACATACAACTTAGCTAAAGTCGCGAGCAGGAAGACGGAAGAAACCGTGAGGGAAAATGAAGCAAATCGAAAGAGACGAAAGATATAGAGTGATCGAACGGAATAGTAGCAACGTAAGCCGATTGCAACGGATTCTTTGGTAGACATATCACACCCATGATTGTTGTGCGTTAACGGGGAAAACAAAAACAAAATCAAAACAAAAAGATAAAACGGAAAGAAAGCAAAGAGGAGGCGAACGAAAAGAAGGCGATGTAGAGGGATGTAGAGTTCATTGTTTCAACGAATAAACGAGTATAAATGTCAATTTTCGGCCCACAAGGCGAGCGCCCTTTGGCCTAGCATAAATTATACACCTATATACATTATCTATATACATATGCATACAACACATATAGACCTATATATAGCATATATATGTACCAAAAATAGGAAGGAGCGACTTGGAGTTGGGAGGAGCCCGCCCGCCATTGGTTATTGGTTATTGGTTATCGGTTATCGGTTATATAGCGCGTTTGTTAATCGGCCAATCAGTGCATCAATCAGATGATAATCAACCATTACAGATAGCAGATACAGTGTTACTTCGCCTAGAGAGGAGGATGAGAATTTAGAGAATGTTACAAGCAAAATTGTTAATCGTGTGTCTCGGTGTGTGTTCAATCGTTCAAATCGTTGCATAAATGTTGCCTAGAATACATTACATTACATTTACTTAGAGAAGAAGCCGCATGGTATAGAAAGTTTGGGAGGAGATAGCCAGTTGCTTAGCTCACGTAGGTCCCACCATCTACCATCTATCCGATCCAAGATCCCAGATTCCAGATCCCCGATCCTAATCCCGATTCAGATCCAGATCCCAACCAACTTCCAGTTCCCCAGTTGTCCTCGTTTTAAGTCGGTTTTTGTATATATTTCCAGCAAGCAGAAGGCAAAGTGCAGCCAGCAGCGCATATGATTAAATATATATTACTTTTTTTTTGTCGATAATCATATCTTAAAGCTTGATATACGAGATGTATTTATTAGGCGAAACGTTGTGTGTGGTCGTCGACGACGATCGACGGAGGGTCAGTTAATTGTTAAAGAAGAAAATGCTTAATTTATCGTAATCGATTACCCCCTTTCTTTTTAATTTAATACTTGCGTGTACTTCTCTTAATTACTATGATTTTTTTTTAATACACCTAAACCACTTTTTGTGTTTACTGTATATGTATGTGTACATTAGTAGTTAAAGGCGAACCAGCATACGAGTACGAGTATAATAAAATCTGCGCCAAGTTTGAGGAGCGGAGCGAGCAGCGTGTTTTAATTATTAGTAATTTCAATTGATTTTTTGTGTGTTTAGAGAATCTATTTCTATGAGAAGACAAACAAAGATGCAAATTCTATTATATATTATTATATAGTAATTATTTTATAGATAACTAATTTAAAATATATTCAATAAAAACAACAACGAAAGTACGTTTGATTTGAGTGTGTTCATAGGGAAATGTATTTCACAAGGAGGGATTTACATTTAGAAGGAAATTTCCGATTTAAATTCCACAACAGTGGTTTGTCTAATTTAATATCTAATTTCGAAGTGAGTTGGAGAAAATTGGTTAAACTAATTACTGGGTAAGTACAGTTTCCTGCCAAATTAACATACTTTTTAAATCTGATAAGCCTTAGTTGTCTAAACCCTGGTTTTGTTAGGAATTCCGATTTTCGAACCTACCCGAATCTTATTTTTGTGGCCTAGACTGTTCCAAGGCTTTTTAAATATGCTTACTCCGCTGCTCATTGAACTGTAAAAGCTAACATAACTGTAAAAGCTAACATAACTGTTAACACTAACGAGACGCCCAAATGTATGCAGCAATTTTCCAACGATGTTAAATCGAATTTACCCGGAAAACATGCTACACACTTCGCCAGTTATTCCATAATAAGGAAACAACTAAACTGAAACCGAACCGAAAATGCAAAGGATTTATAGAAAAACATATAGACACACATCTTTATTCGAATACATGACAATCTGTTTGGTATAAAAGAGAGTGAGACAAAAAAAAGAGTTGTAAATATCAGTAAAAGTATAATCGTACGTAAGTAAGTGTAACTAGCGCCAAAGAACGTTTCACAGTACAACAAAGATTCGGCCGCTTGGCACCCACTTTCTCCATCCACTTTCCACATCCACGTCCATCCTCCGATCGGCCGATTTATCAGATATCAGATGTGTGAGGAAGAACAAATGCTTCGAGATTGCAGACTCCACTTGAACACTCGCTGGGGGGCGGCGGTTTGGGGGCGTGGCCGAGTGGGCGGTGAGTTTTTTTGGGGATGGGGGGATAGAGGATTTTGGATAAGGGGGAGGGGTGATGTTTGCTTAAATGCCACGGTACGATCGGTGGGCCAAGAAGGCGCTGATGAAGTACAGCACCGCGTTGACCAGGCCCAGAACACCGGCCACCATGTAGGAGTCGTTCTTCACCTCGCGCTGCCGGATCAGCAGGAGGGTGGACGAGGTCAGGATCAGGATGGCGGCCACGCTGTGGTAGATCAGCTCCTGCAAACAACAAATTAATCCCAATTAAGTATAGTGCCATTTGTTAGTTCCACAGCTACAAGTTAAACAGTATTTAGGATAGAATAACTTATGAAAAAGAATTCATTTTAAAGCTATACACCCTAAGGTTCATTATTTAACACTTTTCCCTTTCAAAATGACATGGCAATACATTTCTTATTGAAACAAAATTGCAGACATGTAACTTATAAAATTTGAAACCTTACATTTTGATGCAATAAATAATGTTAAACATTCATCCAAAAGTTGAGATCCTGTAGTTTGTTATTAAACAGAATACAAATAAGTGTTTTTAACAACACATTTTTATACCCTTGCAGAGCAAAAGGGTATTATAATTTCAGTCAGATGTTTGCAACGCAGTGAAGGAGACACCTCAGACCCCATAAAGTATATATATTCTTGATCAGCATCACGAGTAGAATCAGAATACGTCTGTACGTCTGTCCGTCTGTCCGTCTGTCCGTCTGGCCGTCTGGCCGTCTGTCCGTCTGTCCGTCTGTCTGTTTCTCTTCAAACTAGTCTCTCAGTTTTAAAGCTATCTTGCTGAAACTTTCCCAAAAGGTGTGTAGTTATTGCACGCAGTATATAAGTCGGAACGGGCCGGATCGGCCGACTATATCGGATAGCTCCCATACGAGGGAATGAAATGAAAAATTCTCCCGCCGTTGTTTTTCATCAGATCGACTTGAATTCTTCAAGATGGCGTTTTCCAACTGTTATTGAATTTCAGATTAAATTTGATCAAAATCGGATAACTCAATCATATAGCTGCCATAGGAGAGATCGAAAAATATATATAGAATTAATGGAAATAAATTGATAGCATCGCTGTTTTTTATCCCACGAGCATGATTTTTTGAGTATCAAGTTTTTTAACTAGCCTTGATTTATAAAAAAAATTTCATAAAAATCGGACAACTATATCATATAGCTGCCATAAGAAAGATCGAAAAATCTATATAGAATTAACGGAAATAAAATGATAACATTGTTATTTCTTATCAGAAAATCATGATTTTTGGAATATAGAGTTTTCTAACGACTCTTGAATAGCAAATAAAATTTTCGAAATATTTGATGACTGCAAGGGTATATAAGCTTCGGCTTGCCGAAGCTAGCTTCCTTTCTTGTTTTAAATTGGATTCCCCAAAAGCTGATATACCCTTTTAAGTTTAGTAGTGTAGTGTTCTGTGTTTCAAATGTAAGCCAATCAATTGAAACTTGTACACTGCGTAAAAAATATGTTCCTATTGAAAAGACAGATTAAATGAGAGCTTGCGCTTTCTGTCACTCACGTAGATCGTCTTGGCAATGATGCCCCCCGTGCTCAGGGATGTGAGACAGGCGAGGAGTAGGCAGAAGGTCCCTATCATGAAGGTGACCGCCATGAGGTAGTGGAACAGGTCCTGCTGGCTCCTGTAGTAGCCGCGGTAGTCCTGGTAGTTGTACGCCAGAACTCCCACGATGGCGGCACCAATGATCTGCGCAAATCCAATTGGGGATCGGGTTACTCTCCGTTGAGGTCAAGGCAATTTGACGGAAAAGCAACTCACCAGCTCGAAGAGCTTGAGGATTCCGGGGAAGGTCTTCAGGTAGCCGGTGTTCAGGACGATGTAGGAGGTGTTGGTGGTGCTGGTGGTGGTGCGGGTGATGGTCACTGAGTGCGACATCTTGGCTTTGTTTCGGTGGTTCTTTTCGGGGGCTTAAAGGTGGGCTCTGAAAGTGAGAAGCGCAGTGGGTTCCTTTTAAAATTGGTGCAGCCCTTTGATTGGCGAGAAAGCCCATTTTAAAGTTATCCGTATCTTTTTTGCAATGCAAACCATCAAAAAGCCAATCTATTAACTCTTAACGTCCCAAGTATTCTTTTAAAAATAAACGAGTAATTAATAAAAAGAAATACTAAACAAATATTTGTCATACATTTTGATCCAAACAAATGTTATCATAGGTTACCAAATACACTATTTTTTGCGTGTGATTCATGCTGAAAAAGTCTACATGTTTTCTTCCTATGACACAGACCTCTCCTGACAACTAAAGGTTAAATATTGGAGTGGACCAAGCACACGAGTCTGTCTCCCAATTTTCTCTTCGCAGATCTCCCAATATCGTTGTTCGTGCGGCGTGTTTTTATTCCTTGGGCCAGCTGTTACAAATCGAACGCCCTTGCCACGCCCATCGATCTGCACAGTATCCACACAATGTTTGTGTATTTTTGGCCATCTTTTTGTTGCTCTTGCTGTTGCTGTTGTTGTTGTTGTTGTTGTTGTTGCTGTTTTTGTTTTGGATTTTTGGTTTTGTCTAATTTTAAAACAATTTTCAATGCCGGCCTCGCAAACGCAAACGAACGAAACTGGGTAGGCGAAAAAGCGCCAAAAGCGTTATTGAAGCATCAGAATCAGAATCAGCAGGGGGAGAATCGGAAAATCTATTTACTTGACCAAACCCCCCCCTTTCCCCACCCCCTCACCGATGACACCCCCTTTTCGGGGATCGGCAAGCGAACAAAATAGATAAATCGCCCGACTGAATGTTCGCCAAGGAACGGAGACGGTCATCCACGGATACATACGAGTACGCGCACACACACACACACACACACACACACACACACATTTGACAACGTCATGAACTTTATGGTCTGCTGCCTGCTGTTCGTTGGAAGAGCTGAGAAAATCCGAGATCCGAAATTGGGGCACACACTTCAAGTGTACAGATGCTGTGGGTGGGCTTTAATGAAGAAAATTGCAAATTCCAGATCAGCTCCATTCCGCTGTTCGATTTGATCGATTCGGGAAACAAAAGATCTGTATCTACATATGTATTTGGGGGTTAATATCGACTATATTCTGGCTGAGGAAACAGTTCCCAATTTGTTTACCGTCAAAGCCGAAAACGTGGTTAACAAACGAATAAAACCAGTTTATCACTTTGCTAAAAACTTCACTTTAAATAAGTAAGGGAGTGTGAGTTTTCAGTGAGTTATGTTCCAGTAACACCTTAAGTTAATTTATTCTGATTGAAAGTTGGTCAGTTTTGTTATTGGTGTAACGAGTTCGTAAAATACTTTATTTAACTAAAAATATCAAAATTGTTTCCATGTCCATCCAATCCGATAATAGGTTTACCAGTGTTTTTAATAGAAAAGCATTCGCATCCCTAGGTTCCTGGGCAAGTCTAGTAAAAATCTTGTTTTTCAGGAATTGAACATTTGAAGCCCAAATAAAATCAGGTTCTTTTTTTCAATAAACATTTGGAGGCAAATATATGTCATACCGTAACATAAAACAAAAAACAAATTAGAAGACAACAAGTGTGATTTATAAACAAGCGCCTAGAGAAAACCCTAAATCAAACGAAAAACAAAAACAGAAGGCTAAGTAGTCAACGGAAGTTTTTCAAATACAGAAACCGAAACCGAAACCGAAACCTGAAAACAAGACCCGAAACCCAAACGTGCTTTAGGGTTCTATGGGAACTGGATTGGGGTTTGGATTTGGATTTCGGAATTCGGAATTCAGACCTTCCTCAAATCGGCGGCGCATTAGTCAAGTAAAGACGATGACGCCATCGGTGACGCAATGACTTACAGCCAATGTTGATGATGATGCTCATCAGAATTCACAGAAGTGGCAATGGAGCACACACACTCGCACACCCCAGGGGCAAGCCAAGGGGTGTGGCCCCAAATTCCTAACCGTCAAACCGAATCCAAAATTCAAATCAAAACAAATGCGAGAAATAACGAGAACCATGTGCGACATTTATCAAAAACAAAAAATACTCGAACGCTTCGAATGATAATTAGGCGGCGGATTTCCGCTAACGAATAGAATGAGCCTACTATATGTATAATATGATATCATGACTAACCATACACACGAGTATATGCTAACCAACTTGGGCAACAGGTTGTTTGGGCCCTTCGAGCATTTGCTGCCAGAAGAGATGAAGAGGGCCGCCATTAACTATTTATAAACGACAACATCCAATCAATTTATGTTGGAAGCAACAGCCTGCTGATAAGAGTGTTTCCTTGCTGCACTCGCCAGCAAACACGATTCGCATTCGTTTCGCGATTTCGACCTCTGGAAATGATATCATCGCCGCCAATAACAGTGCAGTTTAATGGCCAAGCGGTGGAAATGCTTGTAGGAATAAAATAACAACATTGTATTGCACAGCAAAGTACCGAAAATTCGAATTCCTTGCGCTTTTCGAATCCGAGTATATGTATATAGATACAAACAAAAAAAATAGAAAAAAACAAGTATGAATAGTCCCAGCGAAATTCATGTGTGTACCTCTATATCTATAGCTTTCGGTGTGGATCTTACTCTTACTTTTCTCTAAATTCGGCGTAGGACTCGGCCAACTGGTTTTTATCGCACTTCTACACTTTTGCGTCTTTTCGCGCGCACGTTGCAAACGAAACTGAAACCAAAACTGAAAAATAAAAGCGTTTGGGCCGCTGCTCCGCTTCAATTTCTGCGTCGCAGTCGACGCAGCTGCGTGCGAGAACAAAACAAGAGGTAGCAGAAGGCTTCCAGACGCACTTACTGCGCACTCACTCGACCCCGCGGATGCCCTGCAAAAACCTTTCCAATAATAGTATCCGATATTAAGATCATCATATCAAAAACTTTGAATAGAAAAACAGCACACATTATTAGATAATAGAATACTACTAATTAAAAAAAAAAAAACGTTTTCGAATAAAACATAAAAATTTGTAAATGTTTGCTATTATTATTCGAGATAAATAAAATAGTAGCTTCTAGTAACTTGTAGCAATCGTCAAGTTGAGTTAAGAAATATGTAGAAATGCAGTAACTGAGTATGTGTTATTGACCTTTAACTATCATACTTAATGGCTTCAAATATCTATTGGTCGATGCCACCCGTGAATGTGTTGCAGGGTATTTGCAAGGCGATTCGGCCAACGCCAACAAGTTGTGCTCGCCGAAAGGCGGCAACCGCGTTGACTTGACTGGCTATCGCGGTATAAATGACGCCTGACGTCATGATGTCATCGTGTGAGCGGCAGAGCGATGAAGCGATGGAGCGACAGAGCGGCCAACCTTAATATTTGTAATCTTCAAGTGCAACTAGGCCCGGCCACGCCCCCAACAACAGTGTTCACCAGCCGACCCCCGATTGGCAATTAAAAAGAAAGGAATTCAACTTGGAAGTCACTCGGTGGCGGACCGCAAAGTCCGTCAAACATTTTCTCTGACTCAGCGCCACCTGAGTGGAGGAGAGTGGGATAAGTGGGTTAAGGCGAAAGAGAGTGCACTGGAAGAAACCCTCGTGAGTGCACTTTCCAGTCGTACAGTTGAATGTGATTTTATAGTTATAACTGAGTCGAATATCTGTTTTAAGTATGAGTATGTTGAGATAGTTTTGCATGTTTTTTATTAAAGTAAATAAAATGTGTTGTTCTTTTTAGGTCTGCTAGCTAGTTCAAAATAAATTGTTATGTAAAGATAGTTATGTAAATGATTGAAAAGGAAATTCAAAACAAAAATTGTATAAGATATCTTCGTATTAGGCAACTATTTAAAATATTTTTATGTGTCAATTTAGGTTCTACACTTTCGAATTTTAGCAATCGTTTTCTCCCGTGTACCAACAATATTTCGAGAGAGGACGATGAGTAATGCAGCGCCAGCTGAGTGAGATGCCCCGGAGCCCCCTGCCGGTGGGTGGCAGTTATCAGGGAAGCAGCGTTTATCAATAACAGCCATAAAGCCCAATGAACGAAAAACAGAGCTCATCAGCCGGGTAGCGTAATGCATGAGCAATGCGGATCGCCTTCGGAGAAGAACCTTAAGGCATGCAAATACAAAACATACCATGAGTAATTGGCAATTTATAGAGTCTTGACATTAGAATTAAGTTCGCAGTGCGATTAGCATCGCCATGCTAGAAATTAGTAATCCTATCCGGAAATTATATATCTTATCCCAAAATCAAATTCAAACAAGAAAGTTGACATCGGCTATCAGGCACGTATCCAGGGGGGGTGCCCGGGGGGCCCGGGCACCCCCCGAAATCTTTAAATTCAAAAATTTTTTCTATTTAAGATTTTTCATTAAAAAGTCTTCAGTAGAAGAAACCTGACCTAACAGGAACGTATAGATCAGTAGACTGAAACTAAGCCAAATTTAATTTAATTTATTGAATTTATTCGAATAAGTCCACATTTTTTATTGATTTTTGTCCTTGAGCACCCCCCGAAACAAATTTCTGGATACGGGCCTGTCGGCTATACATATATTGTGCATTAATCCAAGCTTTTTTTCTATCTTTGGGTCGATTAAAGGTATACTAAACTACAATGTTTTGAATTATGGTATACATAACATACATACATATTTCACATCTATCAAGTTATTTGGCTTTTCGGTATTTTTAAAATATTTTCGCGTACGAGTATTGGAGTTGTTTCAAAACAATACTTATTTAATAATTTATTTTAAATTTTATCTGAAAATGTATAATTTTTCAGATTTTTCCAATTGGAACTTTATGATCAGATCAACTGAAACAAAATCTGTGGATATCGAAATTAGGAAACTATAATTTACCAGTTACAACCTACTGCGGATTATGTTTACCTGGTGTCTGAAATCTTCATTAGATCCGAAACAACCAAGCCCCGAGGAGTATTTATCTGGCTGAAATTATACTACCCACAGCGAGTATGAAAATACCAACACTTTAAACGGATTTTCATTATCAATTTGTAGAAAAACATTTTGGCACACCCATTTACCAAAAAAGGGGCGACATAAGCACCTTTAATTCTCTCTATTGTCCGCTGATGGAATGCATTTTCGACATTTCGGCTCGCAGTACGTGAATATATTTGCTTTCGAATATAATTTTTTAAATAAATATATCGTAAAGGGGGAACCTAAATAACTTAACGTTAAAAGGCGCATTGTTATGATTTCCTTTTGACTCTATGAAAGAGCAATTCAGAAATGCCTATGGAAGTCAATTCTGAATTGCTGTCCAAAATACAATGTCTATAAAATATTTAAATTGCGAATGTTTTGATCTCACCATTTCACTAAGTTCAAGTTAGCGACATTTGTTATATTTTTATACAACAGCTGATAGAAGAATCTGTGGCTATATACGAAAGTACCGCAAACGTATGTGCATCCCGATGATCTGAAGGGAAGCCTGATAAGATAAAAATTTATAAACCGATATGTGGACAGTTATAATGTTTCGAATTAAGGGTTCCAATTAGCATTAAATAGGAAGAGCGACCACTTTCACAAGTTAAGTAATATATTATAAGAACAATATTTCTGACCCATACAAAATTAGGTGACAAGTTAACATATTTTCAGTAACCTATTTAAATTTTTTTATGAATTTTTATGCACATATATAAGTTGCAAAAAAGGAACTGTATTGCAACATATAAAAATCAATTTAAACTGTTCTTCGCGACAGCCTGCATTACTTTACTCATTGATAAAAGTGTTTTCTTTGTGTTTTACCCACGAGTTAAATCCGACATTATATAAAACTGAAACAGATGTTTGAAAGATTCAGCACGGAATACGAAGAAATTAATTAACCAATTAATTATTCTAAGATCTGTTTCTCGTACATGTTCGTTGCGTATATGTTGTGAGATGAACGTTGTACAAAATATTGTAAGCTTTATTTGTCCGTTATCAGCACACTGCTCGCAAGACAATCGGCGTATCTGTAATTTAAATTGATTATAAGAATTGTATACTAAGATTCTCTGATTGAGCGCCACAAACCCTTCATTACTTCTGGGAAGCGAGTAGGTGGAAATCGGAAATGCCAACGCAGAGCGGCCTGCAACCTGTTTTAAATGCTTGTTTGGACTTTTTGCTCGTCACAAAAGAACCGAACAAAGAATGCGGAGATCGAGATCGAGACCGAAAGATCGCGAGATGGGATTCTGGTTAGGGATGGGAGTTCCCTGCGGGTCTCTCGGATCGCAAGCTCGTGGTTGAATGGCGAAAGCTCGGATCGCTGGCGGTGATAAGTCCCGCTGATAAGCTCCGGAGAGCAGTTCTCCTCCGACATTAGATCTGCTCAGATCATGTGCTCCGCTCGCTTTGTTTCTCAAGTTCTGCTCCTTCTGCTCCTGGTGGCCACATTGGCCGCCGTGTCCGCCGGAAAGCCGCGGAATCGAGCGGACAACTGCCCGACCATCAAGCTGAAGCGCCAGTGGGGCGGCAAGCCCTCCCTGGGGCTCCACTACCAGGTCCGCCCCATCCGCTTCGTGGTTATCCACCACACGGTCACCGGCGAGTGCAGCGGACTGCTCAAGTGCGCCGAGATTCTTCAGAACATGCAGAGCTACCATCAGCACGAGCTGAACTACAATGACATCAGCTACAAGTAAGGAAGACATACTAATAGTATTAGTAATATAGTAAGCCGGTCAGACTTACTTACTCTATATATCGGAAAAAACAAAGTAATTTTAAGTCTAAGTAACTACCAAGGTAACGAGTGATCTCTTCCAGCTTCCTAATTGGCAGTGATGGCATTGTGTACGAGGGAACTGGATGGGGACTGCGAGGAGCTCACACCTATGGGTACAATGGCAATGGCACAGGCATAGCCTTTATCGGGAGCTTTGTGGGTGAGTTGCAGATTATCTCTTTCACCGGAGAGAGCACTATATGATCTCGATATCCGCCAGATAAACTTCCAACAGAGGCGGCGCTGCAGGCTGCCAAGGATCTTCTGTCCTGCGGAGTGCATCAGGGCGAATTGAGTGAGGACTACGCCCTGATCGCCGGATCCCAGGTGATTAGCACCCAGAGTCCTGGGTTGACGCTGTATAACGAGATCCAAGAGTGGCCGCACTGGCTTTCGAATCCCTGAATTGGCACCCAAACCTGTTAAACGCGTCGATTAATTGATAGGTCACCTCAAAATACAATATTTTAATGCAGCTTTAAAATATAATTGTGAATTAAATAATAACAAACCTATAAAACGGACTGTACTAACTATTAAATAAAAAGTAAATATAAAATATTATTTATGCTGTACACGATCCACCATTTCGATTTAATGTAAATCGGACCATCAAGACGCTTTGCAACATTTTAATGGATAGTCTATCCCGGAACTTATTTTTGAGAATGCACGTTCGGCACTCCCTTTTGAAATTGGAACAGTGGCAAATGCTAATCCGAATTGAAATATTTTCAAGTTCATGATATTTCGGCGTTATACTATCTGTCAAAAATAAGCTAATGTCAAACATACGCCACCATATGCACAGGCAAATAAAATCCGCCAGTGGCGCCACTATTGCCGCCAGTCACCACAGAGTAAAGCTGGAAAACTATCGATGGTCGCGCCATTCGATATTTTCGATGTTTTCAAAGCAAAAATTCGATAGAATTGATAGTATGTTGCATATTTACTTATTTTTTTCATATAAAGGTTTTTATGTTTTTTAAGGTTTATACTCGTACAAAATAACAAACAAAAATAAAAAGATCATAATTATTCTATCTTATCATTAACATAAATCATAAGTCAACTTCAACAGAGATCAATAAAATTCAGGTAATTTTTAAAAGAAAATTTAAAAAAAAATTATTCTATCCAGGAATTTTTTTTTTAAGGCTTCGCCTTAAGCGAAGCCCTGCGGTTATTTATAACTTGCTGAACATACGCTCCGACTCGGTCGAGGTTTCGGGAACACACAGAAATTTCGTCACTAATTTTTTTAAATTAGGTTCATTATGCTGAAATTAAAGAAATGTTATTTTTTTTTGAAGAAATGTTATGTTTTTCCTTATATTCAGTGAAAACTGGAACACTTACCTCCCAAAATTGTTGGGGATCCATTTTCTTCAGAGTGCTTTAGATTAAAGTACTGTCTGAGATCAATACTCGCATCTGTTCTTTTTGAGATTGGCAATTCACCAATATTTTTTTGAAGAAATGTGAATAGTTTTGAATCGTTTGGAGCTGGCAGAGAGTGCTTGAAGAATTACGAACTAGAAGTCGTTATCAGTGGGTAGGTCAATAAATAAATATTAATGTTGGCTACATTGGTTCAAACGAAATCCATTTGAATTCTTTAAAAAAAATAATAATAATATTTTTAACATTATTAGTTTAAAAATATAAAGAGTCAAAAATACTAATACCTACTTATTTACCGCCGTAATCTGGGGGGAAAAGCCCTAAGTTGGGAGCACTGCGCTCAAGTCCGTAATACCAACGGAGCTTAATTCCCGATCGAGAGCTTATCGATTGGAAATTCCAGGAAGCACAAACTCGCGAGCGCAGGCAACATATGTAACTGCGTTTTCGATTTCCAGTCCGGCAAGATGGGAAGTATTTGCGATGAGAAATTGTCCAAAATAATGGACAACTTTGACGACACCTGGGAGAAGATCACCAACAGCAGCTCCGCCAGCGTGGAGGGCATCGACTACGAGGGAGTCGACTGCGTACTGCGCCCACTAAAGGGAACCATCTGCTCCGAGTATGTGGTGGCGCACGGAAGGTGCCCTCTGCGTCCCGTCCGCAATTTCGGCGAGGTCTTTCTGCTGCCGCACATCCTGGAATCGATGCATAAGCTGGGCCTGAACAAGCTGCTCCGCCTGCAGAGCTACACTTGGCCGCATTTGGCCAAAGGCGCGGGAAGAGGGGCGATGATCGTGGGCGCTCCATGCAGTGGGCGCACGTTGTCCTACTTGCCAGTCGTTTGCCATGCTGTTTGCACGGACACTCACCCCCTAAAGGAGGACCCTTCCCCCCTCGGGTTTCTGGAGACAGGGGCCTGGCGACCCGATGAGTACGGCCCCAGGGCCTTGATTGTGGTCCCCGATTTGCAGCGCGTTCTCCAGGTGAGCGCCCTGTGCCACGCCCTGCTGCGCCATACGAAGAAGGAGGATTGGTTCACACTCACCCTCAATGTATCCACGACCAGAAGCGCCGAGTTCTTCCTGAGGCTCCTCAACGGAGTGGGCTGCCTGGTGGCCACTCCTGCGCAGCTGGTCTGGTTCTGGCAGGAGCATCCCGGCCTGATGCGCTTCCCACGCCTCCAGTTTCTAGTTTATGACGACGTGGACCTGATGTCCGCGGAGCAGCTAACCGCTGCACAGCAAGTTGTTCAGGGGCTTCTGCCCCTCACAAGCCACCCGCAAGTGGTGATGGTTTCCCAGCACTACAGACCCAAGCTAATGGCCGAGTTGAGAGCGGTGAACGATGACCCGGCTCTTGTGTTCGGGGACATACTGGAGGCAGCTCTATACGGCGGAACTCGCATTCGGATTTCCATTTCCTGCTCTGCGGCCAAAAGCAGGGCGGTGGTCCAAGCGCTACAGCAGTGTCCACCGAAGGATTTCCGCACGGTGATCTTCTGCACCAACGACACGGACATTCAGCAGCTAGTGGTGGCTCTGGAGGATCAGGGCTACGACTGCCTGCCCTACTTCCAGACCGCGGGAATGACGGTGCACGAGAGGGTGCTGAGCTGGCAGGAGAACACCTGCGGCGCGATCCTGCTGTGCACCGACAGCTGCCCGGAGCTGATCATCCGGGACGCGCACTCCTTGATCCACTACAGCATGAGCAGGTCGTGGAGCCAGTTCAAGCTGCGGCACCTCGTGCTGTCCGAGCACCTAAGCAACCTTTTTGCTTCCCCGGTTGGTCCCTTGAAAAGGCAGTTGCAATCGCTGGTGCTCCTCGACGACAGCAATCACCGGAAACTGCCGCGTCTCGTGGACTTCCTTCAGGTCCACCAGGAGGTGGACCCCGCCGTGTTGGCGGTGGCCAAGCGCCTTAGGCAGGAGATGGACAATGCCAATAACAAGAAGGTAACCCTGTGCAGCCAGATCCTAACGCTGGGCAAATGCTACAAGCCCGTCTGCACGGATCGTCATCACCTATCGAATGCGGACAGGTGTCCGGATTACATGCCCGCGTCCGGAGATGTCAAGCTCCAGTTGGTCCGGGTGTACTCGCCAACACACTTTTGTGTCCGGCTGCTGGAGCACATGCCTCCGAACGGCACCTGGCAGCTGCTGCCCAATCCGGCAGTGCAGCAGATGCGCCTCCAGTTAATGCAGGAGCAGGAGCCCCGACGGTACTGGCCCCCGGTGGTCGGCGACATCTGCATGTACCACGGCAAGTTCACCAAGGAAAGGGTTCGCGTGCTGAAAGTAGCGGCCATAGAAAACCCCAAAGTGGTCCAATCCGATTTGTCGGTGGAGGTGCAAGGCCTGGATGTGGACACGCGCACCACCGTCACCACTTGTGGCCAGCTCTTCGACTGTCCGGAGGCGGTGCAGCGGGAGCCACCATTGGCCTGCGACCTCCGGCTTTTCGGCCTGGTGCCGTATTCTGGGGAGCGCAGCTGGACCGAAGAGAGCAAGCAGGATGTCAGGTACGTGCTGTCTCAGTTGCCCAATGATCACTTCCTTCAGGCCAAAATCGAGTTCACCGCCGCCGGCACACTCTTCGTCCGGGATCTGGTGGCCATCGTGTACGCCGACCAAATCAAGACGCATCTGCGGTATCTGTGTCTTGCAAAGAAGCTGATAGCCACCACTATGGCCAAAAGATGTGTGCAAGCGACCGACTGGATCAGGGACTTCTTCAAGGAGGCGTTAATAGATGTTGAAGAAGAAGGAGACCTTGCAGGGCACAAGGCAAGAGCGGAGCAGCCGGAGGAGAACGAAGTGGAAAATAAGTTGAAGGAAGCGTGCCCAGCACAGGTGCAGAGCAAGCCCGTCTTGAGTGGGAGATGCCAACGACTGGTGAAGTTGGCTCTCGAGATGGGCAGGGAGAACGAATTACAGCAGATACAGCGCGCAGCCGGGTCTGCAATGGGAGAAGAGCTTGCTGGTGAGATGACGAACCTCTCCGTCAGAACAAACGAAAACACCGGGGCCAACTCCGAGAACGATAAGGTGGCCCAGCTGTACGAGTGCGTGAGGAAGTGCGCCCTCCTTCAGCTGGAAGATAGGAAGGAACAGGCTCAGCCAAAAGAATCCGATCGAAACTGCAACGATCCAGTTGAATTTCTCAAGCAGGTCTTGAGCACTGAGGACAGTATCAAACGGAGACCCAAGCAGAATAATAAGGCAAGTGCTGCTAAGCCAGCGAAAGAACCACCTAACCACTTCCAGATGGAGATTGAACTACCACCCAATGTGGTGCGTCCGCCGGTAACCTACTATCAGACCATTAGTACGTTGGAGCTGCAAGTTTCCCTACCAGACGATGGTCAGGAGTATAGTTGCTTCCTGCAGGAACCACAGATATTCTTCAGGGCCACCTCCAAGTCCTCAAGTCTGATACAGCAGTTCGTTCTGACCCTGAAGCTTCCATGCAGAAGTCTGCGCCATCACAGCCGCGGACGCACCGTGTACATTAGCGTCACCAAGGAGTTAGCCCGCTACTGTCCACTGGCCCTCGGCGAGTACCGTTTCCTCAAGCCCAACTACGATATGTTCGACAAGGTTGACTACCACCAGCAGAAGGCGAGATCCCGATTGATTCGCTTCCTGGAGAATTTCGGTTATGCGAAACCAAAAGCCAGATCGCAGGAAGCGAGCGAGGAAAGTGAGGACGAAGAGCCCAACCTGGTTGGAGTCGAGCGCGGGGACATTAACACATTATACGACTAAAAAGGAAAAACGAAAATATTTGAAGAGGGTATTCTAATTTCAGTCAGATGCAGGCGTCGCAGTGAAGGAGACACATCCAACCTCATAAAGTATACACATATTTATGTATATATTGCTCGACTAAATCATATCGACGCATTTCCGCGAGTGTATCGTATGTTGAAAAATTCAATTTTACAGGAGAAGCTTTTTTTATTTAATCTCTTAGGAGCACTGTAACATACGATTAAATTGAAACTTAATTTTTATCGGAACTCTAGGGTTTTCAGTTATAATATTTCACAAGGTAGTGAGACATTAGGTGCCTAACAATTTTGCATTCTCAATTTTGAAAAAAGCGACATACGATACTTTCGCGGAAATGCGTCGATATAGCCATAGAAAAAAACGGAAAAACAATGGGAAAACAAATGTTATATACCGTTTTGTTAAGTGACTTAAAATTTAAATTAAACATCATGAAAATCGGACCATTATATTATGTAATCTATTTAAAATTAACGTAGTTTTGTGGAGTATAGAATTATAAAAAAACTTTTGAAATTTAAACAAAAGTTGAACTATAGAAATGTATCATAATCTCATAAGCATTATTTTTGGAACATTGCGTTTTCTCTTGAATTACAAACTAAATGTTGCTAACATCGGAAGATAATTCATTTAACTGTCATAGGAACAATCGGAGATTGGACTTTAGTACCATATATGTAGCTGCCATAGGAAAACTTATTTGTATGAATTCCCAACGCATATTTTATTGTGATTTACCCTTTAAAACCATTGCAGTTAGTGTAACTGAAATGTTGTTGCTGAAAATCCACTACTAACATATATGAAAATCAATGAAATACAAAAACGTGGTTTTAATTAACTTTTTTTGTTTTTATTAAATATTTTTCTACTCGTTTTTGTGTCATAATTTACAAAAAGATTTCCGTTTTGGTCATAAAAATATATATGATTATATAGATAGTGTTGTATGCATGTCCGCGGACATATACGAAACTTTTCTGAGTGCAGACATAGTTCCTATGTGGGGGCGATAACATTTTGCTGGTGTCAACAACTAAGCGGGTTGGTTAAAAAGGATACATAAAAGTGGTTACATAAGGAGTTTGGTGTTTACTGGTTGTATCCCGCTGTAGTTATCCTAATTACTTTCCCTTTATACTTATCAACTAGGGTCGTTCTACTAACTTTAGGCCAAGAAAAAAATAGATGTAAAAAACTAAAAGTCCGTAGCATAAAGGTGACAAGAATCTTGAAAACATTAAACAATTGCGTAAAGTGTTACTTTTGCCTATTTCTGCTAGCGAAGTAATTCCTCTTCTACAAATTTGTGCAAATAGTAATGATCTGAAATTCACTTCTCTACAAGTGTTTCAACAATAGCTCTGAAAGAGGGATTTCCTGGTTTAAGGGCGAATAAACTGCGCACAGTTCTTAAAAATAAATAGTACACTGCATTGCAAATCGGCAAAATTATTGAAACTTCTAGTGCATACACTAATAATTTTATTCATCGGGTGACCTTTCTGCTATGACTTCGGACTTTGAATGGTTAAAATCGGCTTGCCTTCCCGGAGGTCGATCGTAGTCGAATCTTAGCTACGGCTCGAGCGCTCCGGGGATCGTGCCGTGCCGGGGGAGCTGCCCCCGTCCTCCTTTCCTCAGTCGTCGCTCTCTTCGAACGTGGGACTGCTGGGCGAGTAGGCCGGACTTGTGGGACTGTAGTGGGATGGCGCCGTCGGCGAGTACATCGGCGACGTGGGCGAGTAGTTGCGGGCCGTGGGCGTGTACGTTGGTGAGGTGGGCGAGTATTTGGTGCTGCTCGGCGAGTAGATGGACATGTTGGGCGAGTAGCGCGGACTCGTCGCCGAGTAGGTCGACCCAGTGGGACTGTACTGGTTCGACGGCGAATGCTGCGGCGAACTGGGCGAGTAGAGCGGAGAGGTCGGCGAGTACTTGGGAGATGCCGGCGAATACTGCGGCGATCCTGGTGTGTACTGCGGCGATCCTGGCGATCCATCGTAGGACGGCGATGGCGGCGAGTACGTGGGCGATGTCGGAGAGTACTTGACCCCTGTCTGCGAATAGGCCGGCGATGCCGGTGAATAGTGCGGCGACGCTGAGTAGTTCGGACTAGTCGGCGAGTAGGATGGTGTTACGGGAGTATAGTTGGGACTCGTTGGCGAGTAAGACGGCGATGTGGGAGAGTAGCATGGCGACGTGGGCGAGTACGAGGGACTCGACGGCGAGTAGGATGGCGATGTCGGCGAGTAGGAGGGTGAGTTGGGCGAGTAGTTCGACGAGCTGGGCGAGTAGGCATTGCCCGGCGAATACATGTTGCTGCCACTGCCCGCGAACGACGGACTCGACTGGAAGTGCGGCGTGGGTGAGTACACAGACGAAGTCGGCGAGTATCCGGACGAAGATGGCGAGTAGCCCGTCGACTGGGGATTGAAATTCGTCGACGTCGAGGCGTAGTGCGGACTCGCTGACGCATACAAAGGTGATGTCGGCGAATAGTTCGGACTCGAAGGCGAGTAGTTGGGCGAGGCACCACCAGGCGACGAGGCCGTGTAGTTCGGACTCGTTGGGGAGTAAGACGGTGAAACGCTCGGCGATGCCGGGAAGTACGGCGACATCGAGGGGCTTGGCGAACTGGGCGACGAGCCCGGATGAGCAGGCGACCAGCTGGGCGACATTCCGGAGGCATCTGACGCAGCCGATGGCGAGAAACTCGGACCTCCGGGAGTCATGGCGCTCACTATAAACACAAGAAAGAAAGAGAGGGAAAATGTTATAGTACAATAAGCAAATACATATATTTATAGCCTTTTTTTTAGGGCAAAATCATTATCTTGATTGACGGATTAAAGCCAAAAAAGAAACCGAAAATAATCTACTGGCAGATTGAGCAAAGGTAGAAATCAAAACTGCAAGACAGCTAAGGTACTCACCGTGGCCTGGTGGCGAGAAGTAACGCGGCGTGTTGCAGTTCACCCAGGGCGTCATCGGTGGCGTCATGCTCGGCGTGGACCCGCCGCCGATGAACATGGCAGCGCCGCCCAGCATGCTGCTGCCCAGTGTGTTGGGGATCTCGATGCCGAAGCGACACTTCTCGGCGTCGAGCAGCAGGTCGAAGCAGCCGGTGCCCATCTTGGGCAGCTGGCCCATGATGATGTTCTCGGACACGCCCCTCATGGGATCCGTTTCCGCGTGGGCGGCGGCGTCCATCAGCACGTCCACCGTTTCCTCGAAGGAGCAACGCATAAGGGCGCCGGTGTCCTGTCTGTTAATGCCGTGCCGAGTGATGGCCATCAGATGGCCCTTGGCGGTCATCACGTCGCACAGGAGGGCCAAGTGGCGGTAGTTCACGTACAGGCCGTAGAACTGCAGCACGGCGTTCATCTCCTTCTCGACGGACTTCCGCACCGCCTCGATGCCCAGCACCTGGAAGATCTCGCAGATGTCGTTCGAGGAAGTGCGGATGGGGTCGACGTCTCGCTCAGAGAGGACCTTCATCATCGAGGTGCCGTCCGTCTCGAGCAGCCACTCGCCGATGGCCTTGAACTCGCCGGTCTCCGTGATCACGATGCGCTTCTTGCTGTCCGTCTGTGGCAAATGCATGTACACCTTGCCAATGGCCTCGATGCCCTGCAGGGTCATGTCCGACAGCATGTTGGCCTCGATGCAGCGCAGGAACATGTCGTCCTCCATCTTGTCAACGGCCTCGTCCTCGTCCTGGAACTTGTTCTCCTCGTTGTTCATGATCCGGATGCGCAGCACCAGCTTGTCGGCGTTGTCGTCGTTGAAGATGCAGTTGAGGTCCTCGCCGAAGCCCACGTTGATCTTTTCGGCGATCTGCTCCATGGTCAGCTTCTTGTCCGTCATCCGCTTGCGGTCCAACTCGATGCGGAGCAGCCAGGGCGAGATGCGCGTGGGATCGAAGTCGGGCATTTCGTAGTAGACGTTCACGAACTCCTGGTCCTCGGATATCACCGTTCTCTGCGGGTCTGGATCGTAGTAGATGGCTGTGTTGGCTGTCACCTTGCGCAGCGTGGTGTGCTCCAGCCGGCACAGCACGTTCTTGGCCTTCTCTGCGTCGCGGGCAGCGCCGCCGGTGAGGAAGACGGTTAGCGACGGGGCCTTGGGCTTCTTGGATATGTTGATGATCTCCTTGAGTCGCGGCACACCCAGGGTCACGTTCTTCGAGGACACACCAGCAAAATGGAAGGTGTTCAGTGTCATCTGGGTGGCAGGCTCACCCAAACTCTGGGCGGCTAGCGCACCCACCATCTCGCCGGGATTGGCCTGGGCCTGCTGGAAACGCGTCTCGATTTCTCCGATCAACCACTCGAAGGCCTCTGTGGACAGACGGAACTCCTCCGACACGTACTTGGTGCAGAGCGTCGAGCGGATGAGGCACTGGAACAGCAGCGTGGCGTTCTCGTTGGCCTGCTTCGATATCCGATCGTTGCCCGTGACAATGACGCACCGCTCGAGCAGTCCCTTGACTCCCTTGATCACCCGCATGGGCGAGAGGTCCGTGGGCAGGCGCTTGTTGATGTGAAAGATCTTCTGGACGTTCCAGATCATGCGTTGCAGGTTGCACGGCAGCACCACCTTCGAGTCGCCGTTGGGGAAGATCTGACGCAGGCTGTCGCGATCGACGACCAGGCGGTCCCACTCCGCCTCCAGTTCCTGGATGGCCTCGCTGCTGTCGGTCATCTCCTTGATCACGTCGTCCGTGAATACCTTCCGCATGTACCGCTCGTTGCTCCAGTCGAACTTGAAGCGCTTCTCAAACGCCTTGTTCGACAGCTTCACCGTGGGCATGTTCTGGAACTCGACCAGCTCGCCGCACAGGCCGTCCTCGCCGTAACGCAGCTGGATGAGCTGGCCCACCGAGTTTCGCACCGTGCCGTCGTAGTTGACCATCACCGACTCCATAGCCTTTATGAGACGACGCTGGATGTAACCGGTTTCGGCTGTTTTCACAGCGGTATCGATAAGACCCTCACGACCGCCCATGGCGTGGAAGTAGAACTCCGAGGGAGTCAGGCCGGCCAGGTACGAGTTCTCCACGAAGCCTCGCGACTCGGGACCGTAATCGTCCTTGATGAAGTGGGGCAGAGTGCGCTTGCGGAAACCGTACGGGATCCGTTTGCCCTCCACGTTCTGCTGACCCACACAAGCAATAACCTGGAAGGGGGAAAACCAAACAGTTAAGCGGGACAGCAATGAAATCGCAAACGTGTAACTCACCTGAGAGATGTTAATGTTGGATCCCTTGGAGCCGGACACCACCATAGCCTTCAGATTGTTGTACTCAGTCAGAGACTTCTTGGCCGAGCCACCAGTCTTGTCACGAGCATCGTTCAGGATTCGGTTCACCTTGTTCTCGAACGTCTGACGCAGCGTGTTACCCGGCGTGGGCTCGAGCTCCATGTTGTGCGCCTTCTGGATGACGTTTATCACGTCGTCCTTGGCCTTCTTGATGGCCTGCTGGATCTCGTTGTAGGTCTGCGGATCGGCAATGGTGTCACCGATACCAATGCTGTGGCCCTCGAGTAGCAGCCAGTTGTTGATCACGGTCTGGATGTTGCCGTAGAACCGACCGGCGATGTCGTGGCCGAGCTCCAGGAAACAGATATGCAGCAGGGAACCGGCCGAAGTACCCAGCGTCTTCTTGCAGAGAATACCCATGATCAGTTCGCCGTGCTCGACCATTACCTTGGTGTCGCCGGGCGAAATCCATTTGTACGGCCCGTCATCCTCCTCATCCGGATGCGTGGAGTGGGTGCGGATCATGTTTACGTTGCCGGGGATGATCAGGGAGAAGATCTGCTTGCCCGTCCACAGGGGCCGCGGCTTGAGGATGCACGGCTGCGGCATCTTGCCGTCCCAGGTGGGCAGAAACATCAGCAGGTTCATCACCTGCTCGCGCGTGATGAACACGTCGCGCTTGGTCATCTTCCGCACCGCCGTCAGAGTGTCCTGCACGATACCCATGACGGGCTTATTCGCCTGCGGCGTGATAATCTGTCTGGGCGTGATGTGGATGTTTTCCACCTCGGCTCGCGTCTCCATCGACTGCGGCACGTGCAGGTTCATCTCGTCGCCGTCGAAATCGGCGTTGTAGGGCGACGTACAGGAGAGGTTCATGCGGAACGTCGACCAGGGCAGCACCTTCACCCTGTGCCCCATCATACTCATCTTGTGCAGCGTGGGCTGTCGGTTGAAAATCACCAGGTCGTCGTCGCGCAGGTGCCGCTCCACCTTGTAGCCGCACTGCAGATGCAAGTCAGAGGACTTCGGATGGAAGCGCAAATCGATTCGCTCGCCGTTGTCGCGCACGATGTACTTGGCTCCCGGATACTGCGAGTTGCCCCTTCGCACCAACTCCTGCATGCGATCGATGTTAAAGGGCGTAACCAGCTCGGGGAAGGTCAAGTTCTGGGCAATGGAGCGCGGCACACCGACCTGGTCGATGCGCAGATTTGGATCGGGAGTGATGACGGTACGGGCAGAGAAGTCCACACGTTTGCCCATAAGGTTTCCACGGATCCTGCCCTCCTTGCCCTTGAGACGCGCCTTAATGGCCTTCAGCGGCTTGCCCGACTTCTGCATAGCCCTGGGCATTCCGGGCATGTCGTTGTCCACCAGCGTGGCCACGTGAAACTGCAGCATCTTGATGTTCTCCTGGATCACGTGCGCCGCCGCACCACTGGCCTCGTTCTTGCGCAGCTCATTGTTCGCCTTGATGATGTCGGACAACTTGTGGGTCAAATCGTCCTGGTTCTTAGCCGCACCGAACATCACGACCGCTGGACGCACAGCCAGGGGCGGAACGGGCAGCACAGTGACGATCATCCAGTCGGGCCGCGCGTACTTGGGGTCCATGCCCAGAATGAAGCACTCCTCGTCGGTGATGTGTTTGAGGATTTCCCAAACGCGCTCTGCCGACACAACGATCTTCTTCTCCTGCGAGTCCTCATTGGGATGCTTCCACTCGGCGGTGAGGTCCAGTCCCGTCCGCCGGATCGACGGCTGGTAGTGACCGCAGCCGCCGTGACCGGGCTTCTTGTTGGGGTCCGGCTGCTGGTTCTCCTTGGTCAGGTCCATGTCCTCGCCGCCCTCGCAAATCGTCTTGCCCTTGCACAGATCGTAGACGTAGGCCAACCGCTTTCGTGGCTGTCCCTTCGACTTCATCACGATCTCCTTGATCTTAGGGTTGTGCGGTGACACCAGCATCTTGGAGCAGTAGAAGCACACGCAGCGCAGGATCTTGATTGTCTTGGTAATGAAGCCGATGTGAAACACCGGCTTGGCCAGGTCAATGTGTCCAAAGTGACCGGGGCACTCGGTCATGTTGCCGGCACACGTCTGACATCGCGATGTCCTGTCGATGACGCCCTGGCGCGGGTCCATAAGACCGCCCAGTTTGGGTCGACCTCCCTCCATAGTCTCCGCGAACTGAACACCTCCCTCGGTGACGGACATGCGGCGCTGCAACCGGAAAATTTATCCGTAAGTCATTTAAGATCGGGTTGCAATAATTAACACTAAAGCTACATGGGGATTCCCCATTAAATAATCTAATAAGTTCCTATCCATGTAAACAATACTAGTCCCTGCTACTACTGCATACTACTCCATGTTACTTTATTTACAATCGTAAGATTTTACATTAAAAATGTTTGAAGATAACCGATGAAGATTCGTGGCATTTGTGGCAAAAACATTTAAAATCCATCCTTGACCCAAAATTATAATTATTGTAAAAAATTATAGTACTGACTTATCCCCAGACAACTATTCTATAAGTCGTAGCCCGACTTCAAAGCCCCCTCTCCTTGAACGTATTCCTTTGATTTCGATTGTATTGGAATTTTCTAAGATTTTACTAATCGGATCTATAATCATCCAGCAGAATATTTATTTGACTCGAATCAATACCTCATATTCCAACTCATATAAGCGAAAAATAAAGAAAATTAAATGCATGCGAAATTAATGACATCTATTTATTTGAAAAAATTTCACGCAGAAATGCGATGTGGGCGATTGCGAATTTGAATTCCCCGTTTACAATTTTTCAATTTTCAATATGGCGTCGGTCTGGGGTGCTGCACTTACAATTTCATCAGGTGACAAAATGCCGAACTGTACGCGCTTCACCTGGCGCAGCGGCGCCTTCGAGTCCGTGGTGGTACTCATCTTGGTCGGTGGTGGCCACTACGCACTGGGACCACTGGCGACTGCGACTCCCAGGAAGTGGGGCTGCTTTCTGTTTTCTGCTGCGTCGTCACTCTTTTCACCTCGTGCCGTCGAAAGAGGAACAAAGGGGCAATCGTACGGCGAGGATTTGAGGGGGCGTGACCAAAAACGAGGCTGGATAAACAAACTTTATCTGTTGCTGGCTTTCTTGCCGTGCATTCTTTAACACTCGGCCTTAAGACGCGATACCGAATGCCAATTTCCCCGTTTTTCTTACGCGATGCGATGTGAAAACGCGGACAACGCCGACCGAAAAGTGTGCCCGTAGTGACTGCATTTGAAGATACTGCGGCCCAGTACGGTCATACGAAGGGAGCTGCCAGGTGTCTAGAACTCTGTTTTTAGCTATAGCTAGAATATTTATCGCATTAATACATTTACTAATGTAATTATAATTTCCTTTTTCCAACGATAATAACAGATAAATGATTACAAAAAAAAAAATAATATTTCCATAAAAATGTCCATGTAAAAACTGGTTTGTCAAAATACATAGTTTTTGGTTAATTTAGACCAAATTAAATTCTTCCTTTAATTTAGTAGCTTGCACAAAATGTGAACCCAAGGCATTTAATAGAGTTATCCACTGTGAATAACTAAAGAACAGACAAGCTCGTTAATAAATCTCAATTAATAAAAAATTTTTTTAAACAAGTAACGCTTCCACTGTCTTCCGCTGATGACAGCTCCGTGTACAGTGCTGGCCAACGACCGCCTGAGCAGTGCTGCAAAATAGCGGCCGGTCAAGAGCGGTCAAGCCATCAGCTGTATGCTCCGTTTTTGGTAATTACGACAATAAATCGCAATAGCGGCGCAAAAGCAGTGAACGATGAGTGAGGCCGGCGCCAATGCGGATGCTGTGGCGGCCGAAAAGGAGCGCAAGTTCCGCATCCAGGGTGCGTTTTCCTATCCCGTGCGGCACTATGATTCCTTATTTCACTGGAGTACACCCTCTCCTCCACTTTGCAGCTGCCGCCTTTTTGGGCCTGGTGGGTGGTGTGTCGGCGCTGTTCGGATTCTCTCGTACGTTGGCCACCGCGAAGAAGGCGGATAACAAGGTCCTCCAGCAGGCTGGAACGCGACAAGGACTGATCCTGATGGACGAGGGTGCCACCCTGGCATTACGTGCTCTGGGCTGGGGCACTCTGTATGCCGTCATGGGAACCGGCGCCTTCTGCTACGGCTTTTGGAAGCTGTCTGGGGCCAAAGATGTGGGCACTTGCGCTGGATTAAGACTAAAACATCCATCTAATTTTAACTTCGCTTGCAGTTTCAGGAATTTCGCCTCAAGATGGGCAACGCACTGCCGAGGATTACCAAGGACGATCCGCCCGCCAGCCGCACCGACTTTGAGAGCCTAACGGACCTCATGAAGTACCTCGCCGCCTGGAACAAAGAATGAGCAGCTCACAAACACACACTTAAATTTAAATCTAACGCCTGAGAAGACTAAAACATAAACCAAAACTATTGTTGATTGAGTTTACATGCAGGCAAATGTTTTATTTCAAGATAGCTTTGGTGGATAAAATTGGCAGATTAAAAAAGACGAGACTTATGTCACCTGCCAGTCTGATAAGAACAGATCGAACCAATTTGTTTGTTGAACAATAATAAATCATGTGAAATACAGATTCGTTTGAATTTTCGTTTTGATTGTACTGAATCCAGTGTGTAAGCTGTGGACATACAAATATTCCGATTGTTTCTGATTAACTGTTTTTCCATTTGAACAGTAAAAAATGACTTTTCTTTTCATTACTTAATCTTGTATCTAAGCATTAAACATAATTTATTTTGCGATTACGGGATTCAACAGTTGAAAATTTAAGAGAACTTTAACAATTTATTTTATCTACTTTACATTTATTACCGAACTTTATGAATAGGCTTATTTCTACTTTTTTCGTTGAGCGGACAGATTGTGGTGCGCAGCGTTGTTAATCATGGTGTTTCGCATAAAGTGATATTGGTCCTCTAGGTTGTTCTGCAGTTCCACTATATCCTCGTGCTCCGCCTGAAATCGAGTGGCGGTATTTATAAAAACCAAAGATCCTCGTATGAAGTTCTGCAGGTTGGGGCCCTGATCGAGGTAGCGCTGCTGCTCCTCGTTTGGTTTGAAGTCCCCTGGGCGAGTCTCCATATCTAGAGCAGCCTGCATAACGAACTCAAAGAATTTGTGCTGCTCCTGCTGGGCGCGCTCCTTGTAGTCCTGCACCTCTTGTTCCTGATTGCTGGACCCCCAGACTGAACAGAAAACTAAACATGTAGCCATTCCTGAAATCGTTGACCAATAATTCACTTACTTTCGTCTAGGTCAATGTTGAACAAAGTGCTGGCTTCGTAGGGTCGTGGTTTCAAGGTGGCCTCTAGCTGGGCGGGCACGTCCTTAAGATCGATGTCGGATAGATCGCCACACGAATCGTTATTCATGTTGCAGTGTACGTTTTCCAAACGAACCGACGAAGATATAGTCGTTTCTATGTTTTTTTCTGGATTTATTATTGGTTCCATCGCGTCGAGTCTTTTCAAATTCACTTTTAGTGTTGTAAGGCGCTTCCGACCAAGGCACTTACCGTAACTATTATTGCCAGTGCGGCCACAGCTGGATATCGTCAATCTAGCTTGGCTTACTAAAAAAAATCGATCAACAGATTTCAAAATAATATGTAATAATTTATTAATTCATGTTTTAAAGCTGAAATTAATAATTTGGTCTAACTCTTCTTTTTAAATGCAATTATTTTTTCCCATTAAAGATATAAAAAATCTTCTTATTATTAACCAAGAAAAAAAATGTTTCCACAATGCAAGCTAAAAAAAAGCGGCTTTCCTGTTTTTTAATTGTGTAAAGCAAAGTAGGCTTACACTTGTTCTCACCAAATTGTTAAATTTTTCATAGTTACACCTAATCAACTCCAGCCCCAGATAGATATATTTTTTGCAAACACAAAATTTGAAAGTTGCCCAAATCGGAAACGATGATCTATACAAACTTGGTGCGCCTGCTCTCCCTATTGGTGGGCTGTCTTTATCCATCGTATTCATCCTACAAGATCCTGAATAGCCAGAAGCGCAGAGATGAGGACCTTTACATGTGGATGTCGTACTGGATCGTCTACGGGATCTTTGTGCTCTTTGATTTTCTGACCGCGGCTCTGGTGGCAATCATTCCGTTTCTAAACGAGGTCAAACTGCTTTTTCTTTTCTGGCTGTTACCCAACGTGGGCGGCGGAAATCAGGTGATCTACGAGGAGTTTCTTCGATCCTTCTTCAGCAGCCACGAGCTTTCTATCGACCAGGTTCTGATCCATGCCACCTTGACAGGCGGTAATTTAGTGGGTCAACTGATCAGCTCTATTCTTGGCCACCTCATGGCAGTGGCGGATAGCTACCTTCTTTCGCGGGGACATCGTCCAGCCCTTCAGATTACGCCCAGCATGGAGGACATAGTCAACGATGTTATTGCCAAAAGACAGTTAAAGGAAAAAAGAAAGCAGATGGAAAACCTATCCGACACCATCGATGAGGTCCTTAGCGATAATCCTATTAGAAAAAGCACTCTGTCAAGTTTGGATTTACTCAACGAATCCGAATCCGGTTTCTTGGTTGCAAAAGATCATGGATTTACAACTAAGGAAAAACCCGAAACCCCGCCGAAGCCAATGCGGCAGTTAATACCATCCAACAAGGAAATCCCCAAGCTGGATGAAAATCAGGAGCAGAATCTTAAATAATACAGTTTTTGGAAGCCTACATTTTTACTCAGTTACTCTTACAACAAACCATACAGCATTATCATTCTAAAATATCTTTGTCCTAATCAGTTCTAATCAATAAATTAAAACGTAAATCAAACCCATCATTCTGCAATTGCAAATCATATACAGTTTTTCCGTTTAATAACTATACAGTTAAAGTCACTTTATAAGATCAACTTTATAACACATATTAAAAGTATAGATTATATTATATTATATTAATTTAATATTAACTTAAAATAATTAAATATATTATGAATTTAACAATAAAATTATATGTTGTTTGAAAATTTAAAACTTTATATCAATTAACTAGCTAATGTTTTTGAATAATTTACTCCACTCTTTTTTGAAGAACACAGATTCTGCAAAGTAGTGGAGTTTATTTATTAATGTTTTTTTATAGATTGAAGTAAACAAGATATCATATTGAAATCAAATTACCTCGTTCATCTTATCCACTTATTTTCTAGCTTTTTTTCTGCACTTTTTCGACGCGACATCTCTGTGGCTGCTTCTGCCTGCGATCCGGCAAGGCCTGCGGCAACAACTCAGCAACGACTCAAAAAACAGCTGCATTTAACGCGATTGAATTTGCGATTTGTGTCCTTTGTTTTATGAGATGATATGCCGACTCTGCCTGGAGGATGCTGAGCACGGGGTGCCTATTTTCGGCCAGGACCCGTCGGCGACGCAACCGGCCCTGTGCCAGCTGGCGGAGCTGATCGAGCGACATCTGCAGTTGGTGGTGAGTAGATTTGGACATAGTTTGCATGTTCGAGCTAGCAAAAGCCCTTCGTGACTCCAAAAATCCATTTGTCTTCCCTAGTTGGCAGCCAACGATGCGGTGTCCACGTGTCTATGCAACCGTTGCTGGCAGCAGCTGGCTGAGATCGATCACTTCTGCTCCATGGTGGCCGACAAGCAGCGCTCGCTGCACCGCTCACTGCAGCTGAAAACGGAACTGCCGGAGCTGCCCGAGCTAGCGGAGCCAGAGCCCGCCCTGGTGGTATGGAACACAGAGTCGCCAATCGAGCCAAAACTTAGTTACGAGGGCGACGACATCAAGGATCACATTTTGTGCGAACCGGTCATCGACGCCCTGTCCGCGGGCGATGAAAAGGACAGCGACTACGGTGACACCTTTGAGCCGGATTTTGAGGCGGAAATGCACCAAGATGACGAGTCTGAGCCGGAACCGGTGAAGCCACGCCCTCGAGGAAGGCCGCGTAAAACGTCGCTGCAGCAGACGCACCAGATCATCAAGAGAAAGTACGAGAAGCGCAAGCAGCAGAACAAGTCCAAGATCACAGAGTTGTCCTTAAGGGAGTCACGGGCTCGGCTAAGGGAGCTGAAGCGCAGTACCGCAGGCGCTGAAGAGGACCTTGAAGACGACGAAGACGAGGATGAGGAACCAGAAGCTGAAACGACTCCAGACACCGACGAGCAGCCAAAGCCCCGTGGCAAACGCGGCCGACCAAAAACCAAAAAGCTGGTCACTGCCGACGACAATGACGATCCCTCGGAGGCGCCTGTCAAGCGAAGCAGCATCAAGGAGATGGACGACTATATTGCCGCCAATGTTAAGTTAGACTGCGCCATCTGCGCCGCTCCGCTAGAGGACTTCAACGATCTCAAGCGCCACTTCCGCGTGGAGCACGACTGCACCGGCTATGTGAAGTGCTGCAACAATCGATATAAGAAGCGGACGCTATACGTCGACCATCTGCACTGCCACAAGGACCCGCAGTACTTCAGCTGTCAGAGCTGCCGCAAGAACTTCCTGAACCGCAACAGCCAGGTGATGCACATGCTGCGCTTCCACTCGCAGCAGCAGGAATTGGTTCACCAGTGCGCCATCTGCGAGGCTCGCTTCGCCAAGAAGTTCCTCCTGACCATGCACCTCAAGGGACACAAGGGCACCGAGCGGCCCGAGGTGTGCGACACCTGCGGCAAGACGTGAGTTGTGCTAGACCGGTAGCCAGTCCCCTTATGCTCTCCCTTCTCGCATTTCAGATTCCGCACGAAGTTCGAGCTGAGCGCCCACGTTAAGCGCATGCACGCGGCCGACTTCACGCCCATCATCTGCGACATTTGTGGGACACATTTCAGAAGCAAGGCCAACTTCCTCATCCACAAGAAGGCGCTGCATCCGGATGGGCCCGTGGCGGAGGTGCAGTGTACCCTGTGCGGCCGCTGGCTGCGGGACGAGCGGAGCCTGCGCAAGCATCTGGCTCGCCATGATGACCGCGACGGCGACACCAAGTACCGATGCCTGCTCTGCAATGCAGAGAAGTCATCCCGTGCCGCACTCAGCAGCCACATGCGGTACCATCACTCCGCCAAGCGGCACAAGTGTAGCCTCTGCGAAAAGGAGTTCAAGCTGCCGCGCGCCTTAGCCGTGAGTTAGCATGTGCATCGCATCCTGGTCGTTATAAACCCCGTTTCCCCGTCTCTTGCAGGAGCACATGGCCACCCATACGGGCATTGACCTGTACCAGTGCCAGTTCTGCACGCGCACCTTTAAGTCGCACGCCAACATGCACAACCACAAGAAAAAGATGCACCCGAACGACTGGGTGCGGAAGTACTCTCAACCCAGCAGCAGCATTACCTCTGCGGCAGTTCCAGTGGCGCCAGTCGCTCCTCCGCTTCCGCCGCCTCCTCCTCAAGTGGTTGCGCCCACCACTCTGGCCGGTCATATGCTGCCACCGCTGGGCGGGATCGCCAAGTCCCTGATCGAGATACCCGACCCCGAGGGCTTCGACTTCGTAAGCAACAGCTCCGTGTGCCCCACGCCCGACTGAATCTATGTCTCTGTGTCTGCTACTTTGTGTGTCCGTTCCCTGGCTGGGATTTATGTATAAAACCGTACAAATAAACTGGAGTAATTACTGTAGTTGCGTGGAAATCGTGGGTGTTCAGCGGTCAGTTCAGGGCTCGTCCTCCGCCTCGTCTGCCTCCTCCTCGTTCTCCGTGAGGATGGTGCGAATCTTCATAAGCAGCTCCTTCTTCACAGCATCCGGGACCAGAGTCCGGGCTTTGGGCGTCACCTCCGTGATGAGTTGCTCCACGGTGAAGCTGTTGTTCGTGCCCTTTTCCAGCAGGATGGTACGGCACATCAGGCGCACCTCGTCTCGCCAGCCACACTCCGTCAGCCGGCTACACAGCAGGTCCTTTATTTTGGAGCGGTCGCCCGTGAGCACTGTGTACTGGTCCACTGCGGCGGAAACGGTCATTCTAAATGAGACACGCCAGGCAAATGGGTTTTGGGGTTCTAATTCTACGAGTTATGTACTTCTCTCTTGGGGCGTCTTCTTCTTCCTGGTCCTTGTCGATTCCGCTGCCTCTTCCTCAGCCTCTGCTTCTGCGCTTCCTCTTCTCCTCCTTGCCCGGTTCGTCGCGTCTTTCGTTCTTTTTGTTTGTCCGGTTCGCCGTTGTTGTAAGTTGTTAGTGTCGCCGCCGTTGTAAGTGCAGACAATCTGGCTAGTATTCTAGCTAGTTTGCAGCTAAATATATCATTATATATAACGCTCATAACGTTTTTGATTAAGAGTTACGCCTTTTAATTTAATTTAATTTAGTTAAACAGAAATTAATCTGTTGTTAAACTAAAAAACCATTCAAGGACTTAGCATCCTTAGACCTTGCCTTAAATCTTGATCAGCCACAATTCAGTAACTAGATTATGAATTTCATTTCAATTTAAAAAAAATCAAATCAATATGAGCTTTAAGAGTTAATTTTTTGCTGGGTAATAAAATTACGTTTTTCTGCTAATTTTTTTATGCGTATAGGTCAAACTAAGTGCTGAAATAATAGCTTGTTCCTTTCTTCCGCTTTGGCATCTCTGTCGCTGGACGTTGATTCTTCCCACGATCTGGCAACTCGGCGACGAAGTCTCGTAAACTGAATTTGCCAGGCAATTAATTAAATTAATTGGTGTGCTTGCAGTCGTAAAGCAATGATATGCCGCCTCTGCCTGGACGATGCGGAGCACAGCGTGCCAATCTTCGACCATGAGGACACCTCCGATCAATTGGCGCCCTCCAATCTGGCGGAGCTTATTGAGAAGCACTTGCAGCTGGTGGTAGGCAATTGGAATTTGATTTAAACTATTTATATTTCTGAATTGCATTCCCCTTGCCAGCTCCTGCCCAACGATGCCGTGTCCAAGTGTCTGTGTACCCAGTGTTGGCAGCAGTTGGCCGACTTTGAACAGTTCTGCTCCATGGTAATGAAGAAGCAGCTGGGCCTGCAGCAACTTAAGATCGAGCCCTTTTCGGAGGACGAGGACCCGGACACCAAGGCCCAAATTTTGTGTGAGCCTGAGATCGACGTAAGTCCTGCTGCGGCAGACAACGAGGAGTGCAACGAGATCGATGGTGATGCCAGCAGCAGCAGGAGCAGCAGCTGTCGGACAACCACACGGCAAAAGATGCGCTTGCCTTCGCCCATCAGGCGCAGCATGCGGCCGCGCGCAGCCACAGCCCCCAAGAGCCGGATCGTAAAGGCCAAGGCCAAGACGAAGCGCCACCAAACGGAGGAGGCGGACGAGGATGAGGACGCCGAGGGCGATCCCGAGAGCCGGAGCAGCAATAGTCGGGAAATGGACAGCTATATTGCCTTGCACGGTCGCCTGGAGTGCTGCATGTGCGGCAGCGACGATCAGTTCCAGAGCTTTGCCGAGATGAAGAGGCACTTCCGCAACCAGCACCAGTCCGCCGGATACGTTGTCTGCTGCCAGCGGCGCTACAAAAAGCGGGCCCTCTACGTGGACCACCTTCGCATGCACAACGATCCAGACTACTTTAGGTACTTGGTCAGCACAAGCATTTCGTGTAACCCCTATTAACGAACGAACTTCAGGTGCAAGATCTGCTCCAAGCAGCTGGTCAGCCGGATTAGCTACGATGTGCACATGCTGCGCTTTCACTCCAACGAGGACGAACTGAGCTTTGCTTGCGACCAGTGCTCCAAGCGGTTCTCCAAACAGTTCCTGCTCACCATCCACTCCAGGGTACATCAGCAGGAGCGAAAGGAGCAATGCAAGCACTGCGACAGATCGTAAGTTAATGGGGACGACGGAAAGCACACCAGAACGCATTTGTTATCGGGCCCGCTTGGAACAGGCTTAATGTACGCTTTCAGGAAGTTGGGCTCGAACTTGAATATTTGAATCTATATTAAAGTCGGTTTCAGTTCAATGGGTTAAAGTCTTGTTAAGTGAACTGTAAAATTGTGTGCTTATTGCTTATTGTATGCTGATCAGTGATCACACTAACTAACTATGTTTTTCTGTCAAAAGCTTTCGAACCGCCGTGGACCTGCGACTGCACATGCGACGCACCCATGACCCCGCCTTCGTGCCCTTCATCTGCGACTCATGCGGCGCCAAGTTCAAGACGAAGCAAAACCTGCTGGTGCACAAGCGCACCGTTCACCGCGAGGGCTCCCAGCTGCCGGAGGTGCAGTGCCAGGAGTGTCAGGTGTGGCTGTCCGACGAGAACAGCCTGCGAAAGCACATGTACATGCACCTGGACGCCGCCTCGCTCCGCCAGTGGAGGTGCGAGCAGTGCGGTCTGGAGAAGGGCTCGCGGGCGAAGCTGGCGGCCCACATCCGCTACCACCACCCGAAGGAGTACTACAAGTGCACGCACTGCGGCAAGGAGTTCAAGAGCAGCCGGGGCCTCGAAGAGCACACGGCCACCCACACCGGGCAGGATCTGTACGAGTGCGCCTTCTGCGAGCGCACCTTCAAGAACTCGGGCAACATGCACAAGCACCGCCGCCAGATGCACGCCGCCCAGGTGGCCGCCCTGCAGCAGCAGAGGAAGGTGCGGCCCAGCAAGCGCAAGGACAAGGGCGACCTGCTGCTCGACGTCCTGGCCGCCGGCGGAAAGGAACTGGACCACGCCATGGATGTGGGCGTCATGAATGACTGATCGATTCCAAAAACTAAATAAACGCATGGGGAATGATATACAAACTGCTGCCTTTTTATTTGATTCTTTTCATAAATCACTCTAAATAAAAAGAACTTTACAATTATTCCATTTTAAAGCAAAACTATTAAATATACATAATGTAGAGAGTAAGTTGTTCTAGACGAAAAGGTACGAGCTCAGAATTTGTCTCAATGTCACCAAAACTTAAGGCTTATGGACTTAAAATACACTTTGAGTAATATTTAAAAACTTTTTCTGAACTACGGTTTATAAAGCATTAAAGATGGCTTAAATGTAAAGGATTAAGGGTAACGGATGGAAATGCCTTTTCTCCATAATTGCTTAAATAACGAAAAAACTAAAACTAAAAATAGAGGGATTTTGTTGAGTTTGAAAGAATCGGTTCCAAAATCGATAGCATAAGGGTACAATTTTCTTTAATATTTAGGCCGAAGAATGTCTTGGAATTATTAAAATATATTAGCTTAGGAAATCCCTTTGTTTTCCCTTCCCCTTCATTCCATTCCCACTATTTTCAGTATTTCGGTGCATCATTACTGTGGACAAAACCTGAAAGCATCCAAGGCTAGAATGGCTAGATGGTGGCTGGTCACACTAGCAGAAGTAACTCAGAGGTTCGGTTCGGTAGAAAGCATTTCACAGTTTTTAGCTAGGATTTATTTTTAATTTGAGAAGTTTGGGTAAACAAAACCTTAAAGAAAATCAAGTTATAATATTTTTTTTTGCTTTATTTTTGATTTAAAAAATTAAATTAGACTTTTTTGGTCCCTCACCATCATTGCACCTACAGACCAAGTTTTAATTTTCTGGTGTACATACACACCGATTATGCATTCAATTTGCATTTGCTCTTAGTTTTCTCCTTTTCGTAGAACTTTGTAAAAAATTGACTAAGACTTAAATTGAGGCCGTTAAAGAAGTTATATCAACGTGGTACAGTTTCCATTGTCATGGTGAGTAATCCACGCGGTGCAACGTATACACACACACAAGTTGGTGACAAACAAAATGGTGGTGACCTATTAATATATTCCTTTTTTCTCCGCTTTCCCTTTCAGTCTTGTACAAACTTCAAGTGAGCGTGTTACATTTAGGACCAGCCTGGTTTTGCTTTGAGGATATTTCCCTTTTTGTCGTAACCTAGAGACGACTTTAAACCAAGCGGGAGATTGCCGACAATTCTAATCATTTCTTCTTCTCTTCCGTTTAGGGCGCCAAGACGATCATCTAATTGGTAGGTATGGTGTTACATACATTTGGAGCTTTGGAGATCGGTTCGAAACGTTTTCCAAAGCGAAAGAACAAAAGTAATGGTCGCTCCTTCTCAAACGCTTGATTTCTTGTAATCGAAAAGTTTCAATTAATTTGTCTTACAAGCAGTAAGATGATAAAGATTATTTGAAATCAACACACATAATTGTTTTCGTGGTTGACTCGTTTGTCAAGCTGTAAAACAATACACGAACAATTTGCCAAAAGACGTAACGTTTTACAAGCCGCTATGAACCATAGAAAAGTCTTAAATGGCGTGTAAAATGTTGCAAATAACACAAATTACACAAATACATGTAACGTTTTACGCGCCTTAACCAGTCTAAACAACAAATGAATTTGTAAATTTTGTATAACCATAAATGTTGTACGAAACTTATTCAATTCTGAAGAAACCCCTACAACGCATTTAGAGCAGGACGGTTATAGAGAGGTGGACTCTTTCTTATTCCTGACTGAAAGAGAAAGAGAAGATAGATCGTGCTGGATAAGAACGAGACGGCTTTAGTGTTACTAATTTTGTGTAAATAAACGATGAATTGCCAATAAATGCAGTAAAAAAAACAAGAAGCAAGTGCTTTCATTTTTATGGTTAACTCATGGTCGCCATTTTGTTGGCGCCAAAGTAACGGAAAATTTGAAGGCTTTCCACGATCGACATTTTAATTTTTGGGACTTGAAGTGCTGCCAGACCTACCGGTTGTTGGTTGTCCGCAAAGGCTTTTTTATAGGTGCGAGCCCATGCTAACAATGTTTAAGTTTCCCTATCATCTTCAAAGACGGCCACACTGAATACCATTTCTCGAAATGAATGTTTCAAAATGCTCGTGCATTTAAATCGATTTTTAAAATCAAACGTCAACGCCAGAATGCCATGCTATTAAGCCCGATGTTGAGACGGAAACAATTTGTGATATGAGCTAGTGTTTCTACGGTGGCATAAGTGCGTAAAAAGTCAACAAAAAGGCATAAGTTTTTCGAGTGAGTGTGCGTGTGGCAATACACACGTAATCTGCGTATGTGTGTGTGTGAACCAGCTCAAGTTTACTAGTATGTGTAATTGCCTTGAAAACAACATAATCTGCTTATAAGGAAAATAAAAAGAGAAACAGCGAAAAAAGTCATTGTGTACATAATAATACGTGCACCCACATGCACACATAGTTAACATAGTGCAGGTGCCCTGTTATTCTTGCTTTTCGCTGTTAAATCAGCAGTTAGATTCTGTTAAGTGAACAGAGGGGTGTGACCGTACTGTGTAAAATACCGCCGCCAGTATGACCGCGCTGACAGAGCCCAAGGCTCTCCAATTGTCATTAGAAAATCTCACATATGTATTTTTCTTTTCCCCCAAAAAAAACAGCAGCAGCACACAGCATTAAAATCAGCAGCAAATTAAAAAAGTTAGTGATAAGTGTGAAACTGGTGCAAAAGTCGTGGAAAAAACGCAACGGGCTTGTCTAGCACAGCCCGACAACAACGACGGGAGAAAAGGGCTGCGCAAAAACGTAAACAAAAGCAAGTAGAAAACGGGACAGGAGAAAAAGACAAAAGCAACAGTAAAACCAAAGGAAAGCCAGAGGAAAACAAAGCCACTAAAGCGTAGAACAAGGAGGGGAGCTGAGAAGGGAACGGTAGTGAAGAGAGGAACAGGAACAGGAAGAGACGAAGGTAGAGGAAAAGAGAATTGCGAAGGAGCAGCCAAGCAAAAGCAGAGGCGCAAAACAGAAATCAAAAAATGGACTCGGACAATGACAATGATTTCTGCGATAATGTCGATTCGGGCAACGTTTCCTCGGGCGACGACGGAGATGACGACTTCGGCATGGAGGTGGACCTTCCGAGTTCCGCGGAGCGCCAGCTGGACCAAGACGACTACCAATACAAGGTGCTCACCACCGACGAGATTGTGCAACACCAGCGGGAGATCATCGACGATGTCAACGTGCTGCTAAAGGTAAGACGTTTCGAAGTGGGAGAACCAAGTGCAGTGAACACCTAATAGCAGGCAATCCTAATTGGAAAAAGGGAATTCCCCCTACAGTTTATGGCCACTTTGCATTAGGGACATGACATTGTATTTCTGTAGACAAGCTTAAACGTTTAACAATTCAGTCGAACCTTCCCACCAAGGACAATCATCAGTTAAGCTTACTGACTTTAGATTCACTTATTGACCTTTTTGGCTTTTTCCTGTGCAGCACAGTGAGCGCTAGTGACTCAGAATGAAGAGAAACTAAAAAAACAAAACAAGAGTCAATAGGCTGTAAAAAAAAACATATGCTTATTGTATCTTCCTTATTATTACCGTCTTAATCGGGTGTTAGTTTTTGAGTCTTATCATGTCCATTTGATTTGTGAAATATTTTTGCATATTTCAAAAGTCGAATCTTGAGTCAGTTGCAATGCTTATTCCCTAGCTAACACAATACCAAAAACAACTATGTTGATATGTTGTTAGTAATTCAAAACCATAAAACCAACATGAAATTTATAAACAAATATTTACTAGTTGATTTAATTTCGATTAACAATATTTGACTCTAACTGTAACATTAGAATTTTAAAAGAAATAAATTCAGAATGCGATAAGAAGTATTTAATTTATTAATTTCATCATAAGTTCCACAGAATATCGCATGAAATGTTAACCCAGCAGATACTGTACTGCACGTTTGTACTTTTGTGCTTGTGTACTCGCGCATTTCAAGTCCATTCCCCTCTGTCTGCTCGCCGCTCTGCCTGGGATATGGGATAAGCTGAAGGTCGTCCGCTGATGGCCGACAGTGCCAGTGAAATCGGAACACAAGCACCCAAGGTCGCCAGATCCGCATACCACATCCGCATCCCTTATCCACATCCGCTTCTGCAGCTGATTTGGCCAAACTTGACTACAAGTCGCCCTTCTCACTTCCACTGCTCTCGAGATACAAGAACAAAATTTAAAATCATTTTGTATGTTGTTATTGTTGACCAAAATAAACCTATTTATTTCTATTAAATTTTGCAAAACTTATTGCCCAAAGATTTAAAGAAAAGATTGTATTTCATTATAAAAAAATAGAGTTCACTTTACTGAAATGTTGACTTTTTGTGTTGACACGCTTTTCGTTTGATGCACATATATTCTGTAGCTAATTGTCAGTTAAATATAACACTTTCAAATTTCTCTTGAATGTTAATTTTAGCAATTTTCACATTTTTCTTTCAAAGGTGGATGAAATCGTCCATACTCTTTTATACTTTTTTACATTTGTATATCGTTTATTCAAAACTTTATACCAACAAAAAGGTAAAAGTAATTAATGATTTGGCATTGATTTCGAGGCCAATTGGGATTCAAACACACAAACCTTCTTCCCTCTTGTCAGACCCATATATTAGCCATCATTCACTTACATTTGCGCTGTTCCCCGTCTTATGCCCACAGCTCCCCACACCAATGACGCGGATACTGCTGAATCACTTCAAGTGGGACAAGGAGAAACTCTTTGAGAAGTACTTCGACGAAAACAACGAGGAGTTCTTCAAATGCGCACACGTCATAAATCCTTTCACCAACGCCACCGAATCGGTCAGACAAAAGGTGAGCTGAGTGCTAAGGCTCCATTTTTCATACCATCTAATGCATTCAATCTTTTTTTTCCAGACCGCACGAAGTCAGTGCGAAGAGTGTGAAATATGCTTTTCTTTGCTGCCGCCAGATGTAAGTTGCGCCGAAGGAGGAACACCCTTTTCTTGTTGGGCTACCAATTAGCCATTGGAATTTCTAGTTGGCCAAAAAAAACCCCTTATCTGATTATAATGCTCGGGCGCTGCTTAGCCTTTCAAATCTATAATATTGTAAAAGACTTCATTTCTATTTTATCAATTATTTTATTGTTTGACCTTATCAATATTTTAGTTGCCTGATTTATAATTTTTGATTGTCCCCATTTATTTGAACTCACCTGGCGGAATCTGCTTCTGCTCGGTTATCACACGTTGTCAAAAAAAAAAGAGAAACACATAAGATCAGTATTGATAGGCGGCAGGAGACTTATTATCAAATGAAATATTAATAACCTATTTAAATGATGCATATTTGACTAATAGCTCTGTTCTGTTTTCCCCATTTAGTCCATGACCGGACTGGAGTGCGGACACCGATTCTGCATGATTTGTTGGCGCGAGTATCTGACAACGAAAATCGTGACGGAGGGTCTGGGCCAGACCATCTCGTGCGCGGCGCACGGCTGTGATATCCTGGTGGACGACGTGACCGTCACCAAGCTGGTGCTGGAGCCACGGGTGCGGGTTAAGTACCAGCAGCTGATCACCAATAGCTTTGTGGAGTGCAACCAGCTGCTGCGCTGGTGTCCGTCCGTCGACTGCACCTACGCGGTTAAGGTGCCCTGTGCGGAGCCACGTCGCGTCCACTGCAAGTGCGGCCATGTCTTCTGCTTCGCCTGCGGCGAGAACTGGCACGACCCGGTCAAGTGCTGCTGGCTGAAGAAGTGGATCAAGAAGTGCGACGACGACTCGGAGACGTCCAACTGGATCGCGGCCAATACCAAAGAGTGTCCCAAGTGCAGCGTGACCATTGAGAAGGATGGCGGCTGCAACCACATGGTTTGCAAGAACCAGAACTGCAAGCACGAGTTCTGCTGGGTCTGCCTTGGCTCCTGGGAGCCGCACGGCTCCTCCTGGTACAACTGCAATCGCTACGACGAGGACGAAGCCAAGACCGCCCGCGATGCACAGGAGAAGCTGCGTTCCTCGCTGGCCAGGTGAGCTTTTCCCTTCATAAATGTTCAACTATTGGTTTTTTAGTTACTAACAGCTTTTAAAAAACTTTGACAAAAAACATCTTTTGAAAAGGCAAGCATACATAAGTTTTTTGTTGAGCCAAAAACTCAATAGGATAAGGCGAAAAAACAAGGTCCCTTTCCCCCAGCATACTTTTTAAAATGTTTTTAATCCACAAGAGAGTTTGTGGCATCTATGATTTTGTATTGCTTTAAAAAGTTAGTCAGTAAAAGCATTTGGTTCGTCGTGACTTTGGCTTCAACTAATGAAAAGTAAACACAACTAAAACTAGTGTTGATTTTACTATACAACATCATTAAGCAAATTAAATTATTCCTTTGATTTTTTTTTATTGAAATGCAGATTTAACAGATGAGAAATTAAATGTTCTCAAGATGATAGTACCACCTTGTGTACAAGACATAAAATTTAATCCATTTGGTTTATCAACGCTTGTACTTAACGAAATTTGAAATTAAAATGTGGTTACTAAAAGCGGTTTAAATCTCTCAGCGGTGTCTTATATTCCACGCAATTTACTGAAAATGCCTTTTAGTGCCTAATCATGTACGCGCTTATTTATCTGCTTATTAGCTATTGTTAGTGATAACGATTGTAAGCTAAGGAAATGAATGAATCAGCTTTTATTTGCAATATAATTTTATCGCTAGTAAACAAGTGAACAAAGACAATTCAATTGTAAATCGAACTTAGGTATGTAATGAACCGATGTGCTCCAATATTACAAGTTTAAATATTTTTAAGATGGGTAACCCCAAAATTATATGTTCTTTATGTTTGATCTTGCATTAATTGTCAACGACTTGCATTGCTTGATTTACAGATATCTTCATTACTATAATCGCTACATGAACCACATGCAGTCGATGAAGTTTGAGAACAAATTGTATGCATCTGTGAAACAGAAAATGGAGGAGATGCAGCAGCACAACATGTCCTGGATTGAGGTAAGCTCGAAGAATACTCTACCAGAAAGCAGGGATTAATCAGCGAGTCTCGTTGCGATTGCAGGTGCAATTTCTGAAAAAGGCTGTCGACATACTTTGCCAGTGCCGCCAGACCCTCATGTACACATACGTGTTTGCGTATTACTTGAAGAAGAACAATCAATCCATTATATTCGAGGATAATCAAAAGGACTTGGAGTCGGCAACCGAGACGTTGTCCGAGTATTTGGAACGTGATATTACATCCGAGAATTTGGCTGATATTAAACAGAAAGTGCAGGATAAGTACAGGTGAGTGTGCGAGCTTCTGACCTAGTAATCCCCTAATCCCTCGATGATTTCCATTCCATTTCCGATAAGGTATTGCGAAAAGCGGTGCTCTCTGCTGCTGAAGCACGTGCACGAGGGCTACGATACGGATTGGTGGGAGTACACAGAATGACGAGAGTCATGGCTGGATAACTAAGCTAAGCTGAGCGGCAGGCAGTCGAAGTGTAGTTCCCGCTAAACGCCTCCCCACCCAGCATCCAAACAGCACCAAACACTATCCCTCATCCGCAAAACCAATACCACCCACCCACACAGTAACCGAAGCCGAAGAAGTTGAACAAAAGTTAAGGATAACGCAGCTGCTACACGGAAAGGCAAAAGGAAAGTAACGCGGAGATCTTGCAGAATGTATCCCAGATTAGAAATTGCAATACGGAATACGGAATACGGAATGAGAAACCATTTCAAAGCATTTGCGAAACCACAGAGAGAAGCGCTATAACAAATATATAATTACGTATATATTTTTCTTCGTAATGATCATCATAATGAGCATCAGGACACTAAGCAAGACAGAATCAGATAGAGACACACACTTGGACACACTCACACAACCAGTCACAAGGATCAGAAGCAGCAACAGCATATATATATAGTAAATAATCAACAGTTACAAACTTATTTGATGTTAACCGATTGCAAAGAGATCTTCATGTTATCAAAAACTAAAGAAAAACAAAACAAAACAAAAAACGAAAAGTTAGTGAATTCAAAGCTCCACGAATGAAAAACCAGGAAACAAGCCAGCAATAGAACCTAAACATATGTGAAATAAACAACACATGTAAGCAAAAACACTTGCCCAGCTTCCTTTCCACCTGCCCAACGTCCTTGGACCCTTCAACGTCCCGTTTCCTACCCTGTTCAGGCTTCAAGTTAGCGTTAATGTTCTTTAGTTACAATCTCAGTTCGATTTTGAATTTCGAATTTCTTCCAGTTTGTTAAGCCCCTATTTAATTTAATTGCCTAATTGCCTAATTGCCTATTCCCTTTCTATTTTCTGTTCAATAAACAATTGTGCTTAGCATACATATATGATGAAATGTAAACGTTTCCGATTTCGCGATACGATCGGAGAAGCTTTGTTTTTGTGGTGGGAGCAGAGCTACGCCCCATTCATAGTTCGTAATGGCCCCTCGAATATTGTAAATGTTAATTGGAGCCGGGTGGATCCCCAGGTTCAGTGCTCCCAACCGCGCTAACGATAACCCAAGTGAACTTTGCCTCAGCACAAATCGGAGAACATGCCGATACCCCCGACCCGAAACACACACTCTGAGTTGAGTTATATAGACGAAAAAAAATGTATAGTTGATGGGGGGAGAGAGACAGGGGGATCCTTGGATCCTTGGAGCGACCTCCTTGAGTTGGCGGCAAATCGTTGTATATAAATGAGAACAGTTTTGTCCATGGTTTCCTAGCCCGCCCACAAACACACAAAAGTGCACGTGTAACACCCGAAACTCGACTTGCCACGCCCCCCGCTAAGAAGGCGTTGGATCCTTTTACCAAGTTTCCGTTTTCAGCATTCTCTATATTCTTAAAAACAATAAATACAGAAAAAATTATATTTATAAACAAAACTAAATGGAAAACTCATTGAAATTAAATTGATGTAAAAAGTTTAAAGTTGTTCAAATTGAAAGAAAATGAAAAAATACCATAATGTGGAATAAAAAATATATATAAAAAAGCTGTAAAAATTATGAGAAACTATGTATGTATAATTAAAGATGAAATGTTGCAACAATTAGTGAAAATAAAAACTTTAAAAACATTTATTTGTCTGTTTTAAGATGAGGGGGAGTATTAACATCCGTTTATTTTACAGGTGGAAGAAACCCTTGCGATCCTATGAAGTGTATATATTCTGGGTTTGGATCATCAGACGGGTTTATCTTTGTCTGCCCGAGAGATCGAAAAAACTTTAATGGCAATGACAATCTTGGCTTCTTTAATTGAGATTCTAGTTATTTGTAAGCAGCGCAATTAATTGAATTTTTTACCTGCTAATTTACGCTCAAAATCTGCTACATTTTTTGGCAGCCACAGAATATATTAAACTAGAGGTCCTGTGCCCGCTTCGCTGGTAATATTAATATGGATAGTCTGGAAGTATGGATAGTATGAAAGCATGGATAGTATGGAAGTATGGATAGTCTGGAAGTATGGATAGTATGAAAGCATGGATAGTATGGAAGTATGGATTGTGCACTTACATACTTACTCTTAATAAATCTTGTACTTCATCCTTGTCAGCTTTGCACTCAAATTAACTTGTTGGTAATCGCCCCAAAGGTAAACCACTCTTCACAGAAAGAAGGTCCTGCGACAGTTTTCCTTGCAAACGGAAATTATCTGCCAAACGCATATTCAGATAACTGATTGCTAAAAGTTTGCAATTATTTTGTTGGTTTTCAATTCGTAACGACTTACGTTCCCATCTCGCAATGATTTTTTAAGGGGGTCTTCCTATGTGACGGCCTGTTTTTTAGGGTTATTTTAGGATTTTTTTTTCTACGACCAGTAAATATTTAGAGCTTCAAGTTTTTTATCATTTATTAACACATATTTGGACAGTATAAATAAAAAATTTCAGCAAAAAATATTCGGTCAAACTAGAGTTACAGCGCTCTGAACACCCCCGCCTCGAAAAAAAGAGCTCCCACTTCCTCCACGATTCCGGCTGATCGGCTTATCAGAAAAAAAAAAATAAACGGGGTTTTAATTTGTAGGCTTAAATGCACGGAATGAACTACAATCAAATGAATATAAAAAAATTGGATTTTTGATAGACATTTGAAAAAAAGTTGCAAATTTGGCGTTCTTTTTTTTGTTTTTTGCTATAAAAAAATCGAAGTTTTGAAAATTTTCGATTGATAATAGTTCATTCCATGCGTTTACATATATTGAGTGTGCCCTGTAAATTTCAAGTAATTCGGTCCAGCCGTTTCTGAGATACAATGGAGGAAAGTTTGAAAAACACAGTTTTGAGAAAAACGCGTTTAAAGTTTCTAACTGCCAACTCAGCGCTTCGAACCGCTCTTTCTTTTAACTGCTGTATCTTTAAAACGACTTCGAATTTTCTAAAATCGCTTTACTACCGTATTCTAGACATGTTAAGGGAGCAATTTATGAAAAAAAAAAAAAATCGTTTTTTTCAACCCATCACATAGGAAGACCCCCTTAAGACATTTTTAATGCCATAGGGTAAAGGAGGATAAATTTCATTTAAATAAATTTTTAACGAAAGTTATCTTCGGCAAACAGGCCTTGTGTATCCTTGAAGCTCGTATGAAGTTCTATGAAAATAATAATTACCTAATTTTGTTACTTTTGTACCACAAAAGACAACGAGTCTATGCCGAGTTTTTTAAAAAGAGTTCCCTGAATGTTTTATTTTAATTTTTTGAATGTGTCTATGTGGTAACCAGTCAGCTCCATTTGTTAATAAGTACTTTATAGTTAAAGTTAAAACTACGATTCGCGTTCTACTCATTGTTTTAATGGTGCAGTATTAGATGGTTATGCAAAGTTTCCAAGCAAATTGAAGTTTTTGATCGGAGTATTATTGTTCATCTGATGTCAGGTAGTCGAAGCATTCCTGTTTTTTATAAAAGTATATTTTTTTTATTATTATTTATTATTATTTATTATTATATGTATTTATTATATTATATTTCAGCCGAAAGCCGCTGCAGCTATGGCTTTTCTCTATTTCCTGTGGCTTAAGTTTCAAATTACAAATAATAATAATATATTATATTTCTTTTTAATTTTTATAAATTTTCCATTTCTTGAGTTTAAGGTCAAAGTTAGGGATATATACTCCGATAACTTTCGAATGAGAGCAGGGGTACCACAGGTCAGTGTGCTTGGACCGCTCCACTATTCATTGTTTACCTACTGTTGATATCCCAGCCCAAACAGTCATCATATGGTAGCCTACTAGCTGGAAATTTACTCCCAGCGAGACCTTTGAGGCGTCTCAAAAGGCAAGGATTCAGCAAAACAATAAGGAGCCAATAAGGCTGATATATGTATATGTTATCCTCATTTCTATGCTGAGATTTGGTTTATTTTTCCATTTGTTGTCAAGGTACTTAACATATGCTGTACAAATTCTACACTTAAAAAATACATAAAAAAAAATTTATAAACTTCCCATTGGTTTTCAGATCTATAAATTTAATAACATACCTTTAAAGAGCGTGTTCTCATACTTGATATGCGATCACCTTTTGAAACACGATTGGGGATGTTCAAAACCGAAAACTTTTAAGCAGAGCTGAAAAGACTAATACAGCGGTTGCTAAGTGTGAATAACTGGTAACTGTTAATGTAACTGTTGATCAATATAATAAGGATCCTGAATATAACTGTTGATCAATATAATAAGGATCCTGAATATAACTGTTGATCAATATAATAAGGATCCTGAAGAATACCCACCGCGCTTTGAGTCCCGAAAAACTGTAAATAGCAGAACGAAAAATCTTAAGAATGGAATTAGCGGGCTTAACCGCAATTTTTTCTTATCAACATGTAATAAAAAAGTAGAGCATCTTAACAATTGAGTATTTAATTAAGATGGCTTGGTTTTCAGCAAAATTTATATTTAAGTCGCCAGAACAGGCGTGAAGGAGAAGGTATGGCGTGGGTTGCCATTATGTTTTTTTTACCAATTGCCCTATTTTTTTGAAGAGGAGATTAAATTCGTTTGCAACAATTTATTGTTGGAGTCAGTAGTTCGAAAACCGAACGATCTTTCTGGCCCAATTCAGTGGATCCTGCTCCTGTTCATAACGCTCAAGTTGTCATGATGTTATTTTCCTAACTAAAGTTGGTATGTTCTTGTTCTCCAGATCTTATTGTACTAGAACATGTTTTGGGTTGGCTTACGCGTAAAGCACACAAAAGAGGAAAACAATTTGGTGATAAGGAAACACGAGTTTTGTAGAATATATAACAGTTATAAGCCTAAGAAATATGAATTAACGTGGGATTCTTACCTTTTGACCAGCAGTGTAACTATAAGTAGACACCCTCCAAAAATAGCTGGGTATCCTGGTTGTACTCATCCGCTTGACTTTTTTACGACTTTTATGAGATTCTCGTTCGCCAGGTCTAGTTGTGCAATTTCAAACATCTTACCATACATACATATACTTTGTAGTAATGTAATTTAGTACAGTAGTAATGTAATTTTCAATTAACAATATATGTTTTATTCTATTGATAATTATATGTAGTACCTGCTTTGGGCAAGTAGAATCTGGTACCTGGTTCTCTTGCACAACCCAATTACCAACAATTTTTAAAATAATGAATAAGTAAAAGGCGAAAGCCAAGAAAACCAAGGTAAGAACTAATGGTAAATATTGGAGTTACTTTTACTTGAACGAATACATCCATTCAAACAAGTATTCACGGCTTGACAATAAAGTCGCCATGTTATGTGTATTTAGAAAACTCAAAGGTTATTTAAATTTCCCTATCGTTTTTCCAATATTTTGTTCAGATTTATTATTGAAAATAAATATTTAAATTGAAAAAGGAACTTCAGACCCCGAATTAGCATCATCTATGTCGATATATTATATATAGCCTCTCAGTTTTAGAGTCTTTTCTGTACATTGTTAAAATAATAATTCTAATTGTTAATTGCAATTGTAAGTAGTATCTATAAATGTCGAGATCGAGCGGCAATAACATATAGCTGCTATAAAATAATCGAAAAAACCTTGTAACAAAAACGTATCTGCAAACAAAGTTAATGAGTTCAGTTGACACGACATCATTCGAATTGTCTTAAGGTTCGAAGAATTAAAAACCAAGAAAATAATGGTTACGCTTTAAAAATGATACCTGCTACACAGTAATGAAATGTTGAGATGTTTGTATTCCTTGTTACAGTTGATGATATATCTTGTTTACTACTGGAAAGAAATTTTATCTACATACATTCTATTTTAAACAATTTAATTGAATAGTTTTTTATATTTACCCCATATCATACAACAACGAAGTGCTTGTATATAGTAATTTACTCAACCAATCCTTTTCCTTTTTTTAATTTAAATTAGAAATAAAAAATACGTTTTTACATTTACCAATGGGAAGCTTTAGGAGGGCAACAAACTTTATATAATAAATAAATAAATAAATAGTTATAACTATATTTATCAGCGTGATAAAAACTAAGTAGCTTTGTAAATATAATTTACGCGAAAAGTTTATTTGCCAAGAACTGATTCTAACATCGCT